GAGGCTTTGCCTTTCAAGGGGGGGGGGGGGAAATAAGCATTCTCAAAGAATACAACATAGCCAGGATTTCTTCACGCTATGTTTTGCTTGGGAGCTGAACAGAAATTCATTAATGCTTGTGAACGACATACTTTGTACACAAGTCTTTTCAGAAAAATGTTTTCTTTCCAAGAGGGACCTGATCTTCACAAGACGATACCTCAAATGCCTAGGTATTTTTTGAAGGTTCTCTCTCCAAGACACAGCGTATGTGTAGCATCCATGAGAATAATCCAAGACAGAGCCCATTTGAAAGACCAAAATTATATTTTGGGTAAGTAAAGCCACAAGTATCCACTTACTTGATTCAGCGGGACGTTTGGTATTTCCCCACCAGCTTTCTCTATAATCATCAGAAGACTTTCAATAGTTTCGTAGTCATACGGATCAAGCTATTACAGAGATTGAAGCAAGACAAAAGAAACACATTCTGATTACAAAGCTTGCATAAGAGAAACTCTGGCCCGGCTCAGACACAACATTTAACTTCCAGCCTCCCCCTCTTCACAAGGGTTTGCTAACCAACTTCAAACCACGGTTTATATGGGCTCTGGTAAGTGTTAACCATGGATAACCATATCATGGCACAGTGAGTAAACCATGGATAACCATATCATGGCACAGTGGGTATATCCCACTGTCTTAACATCCGAACTGTGTCAGTTCGAGCCCCGCGCTGGTGTGAGCTGCCAGCCTGTTGTCCCCAGCTCATCGTCCCCCCAGCGATTCGAAAGCCTCGGTGAGTAGATAAAATGGGAACCACTCCTTAGAGAGGGTGGGCACACCAACTTCCCCTCCTGGAAAGGTGTTAGCTGTCGGTTGGGGACGTCCTGGTCCAGGATCCGGAAGGCAGAAGATCTACTCGGCTACGAAAAATCCCTGCAGCGGGATGCTCCGGCCAGGCGGTGGCAGTGTGGCGACACGACATACGGGTCCTGAAGCCCCAACATCATCAAGCCGGTCGACGCAGCCGTTAGGGACATGACTGAGCCAAGCCAGAACGTTTCCACCGTGCAGTTACAGCGTGTGCAATTAAATGAATTATATGTTGTCTTCCCTAGCCCCTATGAAACATTGTTAGTCCCCTGTCTAAAGAGTAACTGTAAATCACTTTGAGCACACTTGTGGGGAAAGCGATTAATAAATCGAAAGCATTATTATTATTATTATTATTAATAGATTTTTATAATTTAATTTAACGTGCAACTAAAAGAAGCTTTGGGCACCAATCAAGAAGTGACTTCTGGCTCTGTCATATAAAATGGGGCTACTGGTTTTTGGCTTCTCCATGCCCTTATCATAGTATCAAAGAAATTACTTGCTCAATGGGCACCTTACTACAGTGGGCCTTATGGGACACTGTAGATTAGACCAGTGCAAGTGGTTCTGCATGTGGTCTCTGCCACAGCGGAGGGGCTGTGGCTCAGTGGTAGAGCATCTTCTTGGCATGCAGAAGGTCCTAGGTTCAATCCCCGGCATCTCCAGTTAGAGAAGGACCAGGCAGTACGTGATGTGAAAGACCTCTGCCTGAGACCCGGGAGAGGTGCTGCTGGTCTGAGAGGGCAACAGTGACTTCAAGAGACCAAGGGTCTGATCCAGTATATAAGGCCGCTTCATGTGCCTTACACATCAGGGTATAAAACCTGATGTTTAAATGGTCAATTCTGATCTCTAATAGCACCACATTCAGCAGAGTGAGCACTCTGAAACTTCAATAGACGGGCTTGACTCAGCCAAAGCAAAGTGTTTATCTCAATGGGCGGTATTTAAGCAGGTTCACAACCTTTCCACCCAAATGAACTACACTTGAATTCTGATGACTCTTGACCAATGGTGATGTTTTACTTAGCTCTACCTTGTACAACATGGCATTAAGGCTTATAACCAAGCTGTTGGTGTTTCTCAACAAGGGGATGATCTCTGTGGCTCTAGCCACGACTGAGGCAGGCGGTCGCTTCCCAGCATCCCCCATAGATTCCTCTTCAACGTGACTTGCGCTGGCGTTTTGGAGAAGTGCTTCGATATAAAGCTGCAAGGCTGTGTCACTGTCCAACTGGAAAGACCTTTAGAAGAACAGAGAGAGGGGTGGCGGTGAGGGAGTAAACAGAAATCCTCATTCAGAAAACAGCGTTGCAATACATTGCTCGAGGAGGAGAGGGATTATTTGCTTTGCTTTTAGACCACAGGCTAGTTAGGGATTTCAATACAACCTTAACGTTCTTTTTTTGACCCAACATAATGGCAGTGTGTTTCCCCCTCACCTGCAATATTTTAATATGAGATCTGTTTTCACATGTGGATTCTGAACCAAAGTCCTCAGAAGCTCTTTCTTCCTTATTGATGGTGTTCTAAATACATCCTGGAAAGAGATCTGCGGACGAACAAAAGGGCTAGTTAGGACAGGTGTTTTCCACCATGTTAGTTAAGATACCATTGTGTGTGGGGGGGGGAGAGAACGAACGTGGGTACGTGGAGGGAAACTCACTTCCCAGTAGCATCCAGTAGCATCCAAGACAGGACAAGTAACCTGCATGCAAGCGACCAGTCCTAAGTTTCAAAACTAGTATTCAATTTCAGCAGAATGGCAATAGTCACTCTTTTCTCTTATCTGTCTACTAGGATACTGTGTGAGCCTGCAGAAGGAATCGGGGACTACTGTTCTTGAACGGGGCCATCAAAACATTGTAAGTCAGTAATCAATAAACCAATTTGTGAATCCAAATTCTAGTGCTTGTCCTATGGTTGTTCTGGGGAAAACAGAGTCTCAGTGCAAGTCCCACCCTTTCTAGAGTCTCCATCAGTCTGAGCAGGTGGCAAGACCAATCCAGGGCAAGGGGGGGGGGGATACACAGTGAACTCATTTCATCCTCCGCAGCAAGAGGAGAGGTGCCTACCCTGCTCTGTGATGCTTTCTGCTTTCCTTGTATACACTACACCGGGGGTGGCCAAAAGCCGCACAGAATAAAGAAGAAAAAGAAATTGGATTTCTACCCCGCCCTTCACTACCCAAAGGAGTCTCAGAGCAGCTTACAAACTCCTTTCCCTTCCCCTCCCCACAACAGACACCCTGGGAGGTAGGTGGGGCTGAGAGAGCTCTTGACAGAAACTGCTTTCTTTTCAAGAACAGCTCTTATCAGAACTATGGCCTGCCCAAGGTCATCCAGCAGGTGCAAGTGGAGGAGTGGGGAATCAAACCTGGTTCTCCCAGATTAGAGTCCGTGCACTTCACCACTACACCAAACTGGCTCCCAGATTAGAGTCCGCGCACTTAACCACTACACCAAAACATCAGATGTTTGAGAGCCGCAAGACAGGAACCAATGTTACATGCTCTACACTATCTTATGGGACCCAACAAAAACAAGAAGAGGTAAAAGTTGTGTTCTGCTCTCCCACCCCACCCACCCACACTTGAGACAGCTTTCTGGAGATAAGTTGCAAGTATCCCCCCCTCCATCCCAAAAACTCAAGTTCTGTCAAAAGCAATTATTGCTGCCTGTGACTGTTTGCACTAGAACAGTTCCACAGACTTGAACTGCATTGCTGTATAGCAAACATGCTGTGGAATAAGATCAGTGCCTCCACAAGAGTTTGGCAACTTGGCATGATCAACTAATGGCACAAGTAATATGTGAAGACTCTGGTCTACCGCATGCTGTGGCACAATAGTCCAATAGCAAAGTTTCATAGGGTGCGGCCAGACGGGCCATTTAGTCCGCTTTCGGCTCGCCTCAGAAACGGATTTTATCTGCACGATCACACAGTCAACATCTGCCTCACGTCCCCAGCCGTCGCTTTCCGGCTCAAAACCGTTTTAACCCGGAGTATTTTGATACCAGGTCCCCAAGTGGTGTTTTCCTGATTCTCCAGTTCCAGCTGCACTTCTCTGACATCTGATCGCTCCTGCGGTCTCGAGCCACTTCCGGTTTAAACCCCTTCCCCGCTCGAAAGCTGCCCGAGGTTTCCGCTTTTCGCCCGCCATTTTTTTTAAAGCGTTGCGGTGTGCGCATAGGTGGAGGCCCGCCGCCACCACGTTATTAAAAACAATGTTTAAACGGTGCCTAGTTTTAGCATTTAGACGAGTTCGGGATCTCACAGAGGCCAGTTTCGGGGTAAAAGTTTAAAGGGAAATGTTCCTTTAAAATTTAAAGGGAAGTGTTATAGCAGTCAGGTTGAAGTGAAAATCACGAAAATTTTAGTTCTACAGATGGCTGCCTGTGCACATGCCCAAACTGAGAGAGAGAGAAAAACAACACCGACGCACACTCCCACGTGTGGATGGCGGGGAGCAATGGGGCTGCACAGCGATCCAGAGCAAGGAGGTGAGTGTGATCGCGATTCTCCAGGTTAAAAAAGACCGCATCAGGGCCGGAGCAATTTAAACTGCTCCCAGCACACCGTCTGATCGCACCCATAGAGTCTTACAGAACAGAACTCTACAAAGTACTAACTTAAAAAAAACATCTGCCCAGAAATACCATATGCAAATCATTATTCTGCATAGTTATGTTTACATTTCTGTCATCTATCCTCAATTCAATTTTTTAAAAAACTCACTCTAAGTTTTCCAAGTTCTTTGCCCCATTCAGCATCATTCATTAATTCTTCAAATCTCTGCTTTTCTTCCACATCATCATACCAACTGGCAAGTTGTGCTCCAACAAAGGCAACTGACTGTTAAAGAGCAAAAAAACCAGTCATGGGTAAAAAGCACATGCAGAGTTGTAGTAGGCATATTCCAGTACGGTAGCAGTGTCCAGCTGTTTCAAACACAAAACAGCTGGATTCGAGTTGTGTTGCACCTTAGAGAACAAGATTCCTGGTGTATATCTAATTCCCTCTTGAAGCCGTCCATGCTTGTAGGTGCCACCACCTCCTGTGGCAGTGAATTCCACGTGTTAATCACTCTTTGGGTGAAGAAGTACTTCCTTTTATCTGTTCTAACCCGACTGCTCAGCAATTTCACTGAGTGCTGACAGAGTTCTTGTACTGTGAGAAAGGGAGAAAAGTACTTCTTTCTCTACCTGCTCTATCGATCATGTCACCCCTCAAGCCCTCATTTCTCCAAGCTAAAGAGCCCCCAGCACTTTAACGTTTCTTCATAGGGAAAGTGTTCCAACCCTTTTATCATCCTAGTTGCCCTCTTCTGCACTTTTCCCAATGCTATAATATCCTTCCTGAGGTGTGGTGACCAGAACTGTACGCGGTACTCCGAATGAGGTTGCACCATCGATTTATACAGGGGCAAAGCTCCCTTCATCAGGTATCTAATGAAAGTACCTTTGGCTCTCGAAAGCTCATACCCTGAAAATCTTGTTGGTCTCCAATGGGATAATGGACTCAAACCTAACTGTTCTACTGCAGGCCATCAGGGGCCACCCTCCAAAACTGAACAGAAAACAGAGTCTTGTGGCCCTTTAAAGATTCACAGAATGCCTGGAAGAGCTGAGGCATTTCCCCCATACGGTTCCTGAGCACTGCCGCTGCTTCTCAAGTGCCCACCCATTTATTTCTCTGTACGGAGACAAACCTATCTGCTACAATGAACTGGTCGGGTCTTCAAGGTCCCACGTGTATCCCTCCCATCACGCACAGCCTCTAAGTCCTTCCAAGAGGAGATGCCTCTTCCTTCCCAGTCTTCCCATCACTCACTGGATAGATTCGGACATGATGACATTCCATGGTTTGTCACTGTGAGAGCAACAAGCTTGGAAATCCTCGGGCTTTTGTGCTTCCTCCCACTTCCCCGACAAATATTTGAGCTTTGAGTCCTTTCATGAATCCCACTGCACCACGTCCAATCTGGAAGGTCTAACTTTTAAATGAAGACCTTGTTGGGGTTATGCAGAAGAGACAGCAATGCAATTTTTCCTGACTGCCATTTCTCAACCAGCAACTAATAAAAAGACTCGAATGAATTCGTGGGTACAACCTCTTCGTGCGCAGGTTGACTTGTGAATAAAGGTGAGCACAGTATGTCTTACACACACACACTCGATCCCTTAGAAGAGAGAAGCTGAGACTTACCAGAACCTTGCTGTAATTTTGCCAAGTTTTATTGATCGTGTCCCAGAGGTATTCATAGAACGATTCTTTGCGCAATAAGGAGCAGTAGCCTCCTGCCAGACTGCGGTCTACGTGGCGACTGTGGAAAACCTACAAAGTGCAGATTTCAATTAAACACTTAATTTTCTGCACTTAAAAAAAATGTTAGCAGAATATTTTTATTTATTTGTTTAGACATACCCCGCCCTCCCAGCCAAGGCCGGCTCGGGGCAGCTTACAACAGAATACAACACACACACAAATTTAAATAATCCTAAAAACAGAATAAAACGTTTCAACATTTTAAGCATTTCAACATTTTAAACATTTTAAAGGTGCTTGTTGGAAATGGTGTGGCACCTCGGGATAGAAGGGAATGATTACCCAAGAAATTCTTTCGCAGAAGCCCCGCTGAAATAAACGGGTGCTGCGGCTGTGCCAGAGTTAGAGGGAACGGGATCCAGCGCCCTACACAAGGGCTTGCCCTCCCATCCTGTCTTCTGCGGCACTGCGACCTGCTCACCTTGTGCAGGAGGGCCATCACATTATCTTTAATCTTTGACTCCGAATAATGCGTCACTGTGGTGAGAGATCCTATGGCATCTCGTACTGTTTCCTGGTTATGCAGCTGATGGACAGAGAACACCACGCTGGAATCACAACTAGATAAACAGGAAAAGAGACTTCCCAGCAGTAACATAAACGAGAACAAAAAAGCTGTGGCATAAGACGCTAAACAATATTGTCATCAGTGATTCTAAGAAAATTCAAATATATATATTGTAAAGCAAAATCCAAAAAGTATGGCAATACGATGCAATCAATGTGATATACAATCACTGGCAAGCAATAGACAATGTACAATCTGAAGGAAATTATGCAATAACGACGATCCCGGGTATGCACTTTGTTTCGAATATCATCTTCTTCTTCAGATATATATATATATGTATATATATATATACACGCACATTTGGAGTGTTCTATATCTCTGGGACTATATTAAAGTCTTTATGAAAATTCTTGTGTTCAGCCTTCTCTATAAGGATTTCACGATGATTCAATCATATAATACCATCTGCAGACAGGCCAACTTGTCACAGTTTTAAACACAGAATCCTTTAGCATTACAATGCTGGCATAGCCTCATAGAAAGACTATATGTAAGAACTGCAATAAGTGGAAATCACAACTAGACATCTCCTTGCTCCAAAAGCATTTTACTTGGTTTTTGTTTCCACTCTCCGTAACCCTTCACAAGTGTCCAGAATCAGTACTGCTGTTATGTTTCCATATTTTAGGCAGTGATCCACTGACATGAGCGTAAACCATTATATTACAGAAAACGGAAAAGCAGCGCATTTTCAGGGAACTCATTGTGGTGACTTTCTTGAAGATGATAATAGCTCCAGAGGAAGCAGCTCCAGAAGAATAATGCCAGGAGGCCTAACACAACTGGACCTCCCCCCCACCCCACCGCCTGCCCTTTAAAACGTTGCACAGGTCTGGATCAAGGCGCGCATCCCAAGTTCTCCTCTGCCAACTGTCACTGGCTAATTAGTAGTATGAGTAAGAAATGGTTACTGCCCAACAGAATTATTGCACTTGAGACAGATGTACACAACATCTACCCACCTTTCTACCTATGCCTATCTTTTCCCCACTCTATGTGCAAACATATCCAAATTTAATTTTGTTCTTGGCCTGCAGAACTGCAAATTTTAGGCATGCGGGTTCCATATACATCATTTCCGGTACACCAAAAGACAGTCAACATCAGGTACGACTAAAACGAGCATGACCCAAGTAGTCTCACCCCATGATGCATACCTTTTCAGCCAGGTCGATATCCACAATGTTCCCTGCTATGTGCTGAACGACAGACCCCAAAGAGGTATTAATCAGCCTCAAGCTCAGTTCATGTTGACTACATTCTTGCAGGTTGTCGAGCAGGACAGACATCGGGGTGCCAAGGGGCAAGCAGAGGTTTTTCCCTAGGAAAAAAATCCCACACATACCCCCAATTACAGAATTGAAGGTTCATATTATAGAGGACGTTAAAAGGTTTGTAAGGCATGCTTGACTGGCAGTGAACTATGCTGCTGGAAACCCATCGGAACTAGACAGTAACAAATATGCTCTTTTTTCTCAGTGGCTCTCGATGGGACACAGAAGTGCCCCACAAAATACTACAGAATAGACGGCGTTGGCCAACCCTGGTTGATACACACGAACGCAAGGTGACCAGGAAGCCCTAAGTGGCAGAGTGCAGATCGACCTCTTTCTAAAAGCAGGAAATAATGTCACAGCCAGCTGAGGAAACCAGAAGTAAACAAGACAAATCACTGCAAACTGTGCATTACCAAATTTCTATTAATGCAAACTGTAACATATTCCACCATATATTCATATATGTTTTACAGACAACACAAGTCAAGCTTCAGGTGGTGAAGATGGATGGAATTGGACGAACTCCCCCGGAGTTGAGACTTGTTTCGAGGCATCTTTTTCCTACATACAACCTCAGCTGTGCATTCACATGGTCATAAATCTTCCAAATTGGAATTTCCTTGATTCCTATACGTTTTGATGTCATTCACAAAACATTCTTAACAACAATCAACAAAAAGGTTGATCAGCCCGTCTTGAATATTGTTGTTAAGAATGTTTTGTGAATGACATCAAAACGTATAGGAATCAAGGAAATTCCAATTTGGAAGATTTATGACCATGTGAATGCACAGCTGAGGTTGTATGTAGGAAAAAGACGCCTCGAAACGAGTCTCAACTCCGGGGGAGTTCGTCCAATTCCATCCATCTTCACCACCTGAAGCTTGACTTGTGTTGTCTGTAAAACATATATGAATATATGGTGGAATATGTTACAGTTTGCATTAATAGAAATTTGGTAATGCACAGTTTGCAGTGATTTGTCTTGTTTACATCGGTATTATACTGCAATCCCCCTTTATCTGTCTTACTAGAGGAAACCAGAAGTGACATCACAGCCACTGCAGGCTACTGAGGCCATTTTGAGAAGGACAAAGAGGCTCTGGGCTGGAGGCAGCGTAAACTGTTCTCCGAGGGAGCAACCAGAGCCTAGAGATGGGAGGGAGATATCACAACCTGCAAAGGACTGACAGATTTGACAGGTACATGGGCCACAGGAAAGTCAATACCCTTGGAAACAGGAGATTTGCATGAGGGGACCCTGGTATAAGGGAACACTGGGAAAACCATCAACCTGTCTTTTTTTGCTGGGGGGGGGGGGAGACAAACTAGAAGGTAAGGACTTATCCAGCAGTGATGAGGTACCCAAGAAAGTCAGGGTGCCCAGAGGACAGCAACCTCTGAATTTTAGAACTCTTGGAGAACAGGTGAAGTGCAAGATTGGAGGCGGGCATTTGTTGTCCCCATCTTCAAGAAGGGGAAAAAGGAGGATCCGGGTAACTACCAACCCATCAGTTTGACGTCTAATACCTGGGAAAGTTTTAGAAAAAAATAATCAGACAGTCCTTGAGCATTTAAAAGGACAGCTGTAATTACTAAGAGCCAGCATTGGTTTCTCAAGAACAAGTTATGTCAGATTAACCTTATCTCTTTTTCTGAGGAAGTTACTACCTTGCTGGATCAGGGGAATGCTGTAGACATAGTTTATCTTGATTTCAGTAAGGCTTTTGATAAGGTTCCACATAATATTCTTGTTGACAAATTGGAAAAATGTGGTTTGGATCCTATGACTGTTAGGTGGATCTGTAACTGGTTGACAGACTGCACCCAAAGAGTGTTTGTGAATGGTTCCTCATCTTCTTGGAGAGCAGTGACAACTGGAGTGTTTTGAGGATGTGTCCCGGGACCTGTTTTGTTCAATTAAATTTGCAGATGATACTAAATTGGGAGGGGAAACAAATACAGTAGAAGACAGAATCACGATACAGGATGATCTTGACAGGCTGCAAAACTGGGCTAAAACAAATAAAATGAATTTCAATGGGGATAAATGTAAAGTTCTGCATTTAGGTAGGAAAAATCAAATGCATAATTATAGGTTGGGGGAGACTTGTCTTGGCAGTAGTATATGCAAAAGGGATCTTAAGGTCTTAGTAGACCATACACTGAACATGAGTCAATAGTGTGATGCGGTAGCTAAAAAGGCAAATGTGATTTTGGGCTGTATCAACAGAAATAGAGTATTCAGATCACGCGAAGTGATGGTACCACTTTACTCTGCTCTGGTTAGACCTCACCTAGAGTATTCAGTTTTGGGCACCACAATTTAAGAAGGATATAGACAAGCTGGAACATGTCCAGAGGAGAGCAATGAAGATGGTGAGGGGTCTGGAGACCAAGTCCTATGAGGAAAGGTTGAAGGAGCTGGGTATGTGTAGCCTGGAGAGGAGACAACTGAGAGGTGATATGATAACCATCTTCAAGAGGATGATACAGAGTCGTTTTCTGTTGACCCAGGAGGTCAGACCAGAACTAACGGGTTGAAATTAAATCAGAAGAGATTTTGCCTAAACATTAGGAAGAACTTTCTGACAGTTAGAGCGGGTCCTCAGTGCAACAGGCTTCCTTGGGACGTGGTGGGCTCTCCTTCTTTGGAGGTTTTCAAACAGAGGCTGCAATGTGGATTCTGTAAACTTAGGCAGATCATGAGAGGGAGGGCAGGAAGGGTTGCCTCAGTGCTTAGTTCTTGTTGCCCTTTCTTACACGCACAGGGAATGCTGATCGCCACGTTGGGGTCAGGAAGCAATTTTTCTCCAGGTCAGTTTGGCTGGGGATCCTGGAGGTTTTTTGTCATCTTCTGGGCATGGAACAGCAGTCACTGCGGGTGTGGAGGGGGAGGTATTTGTGAATTCCCTGCATTGTGCAGGGGTTGGACTAGATGACCCTGGAGATCCCTTCCAACTCTATGATTCTAACCAAGGGCTGGGGCTCTGTTCTCAGAAATCCTTAAGGAGCGAAAACTCACACTAGAAGAAGAAGACTGGATTTATACCCCGCCGTTCACTCGGAGTCAAGGCTCCAAAGAACTGGAAAAGTGGGAGGAGCAACAATAGATGAGATAAAAATCTGCAAAGCTCAAACTCTTCAGTATACCTAACTCTCTGGATCCCAGGGCATATCTGCATTTGGACCTGAAGAGAACACTTTTGCTTTTTTCTCCTCTGAGCAACTTTTTATGCAATATTATCGCCCTGTCCTTAAAGGTGTATTTTTATGCCAATCTCATAGCCATTTGCTTGTGCAGATACCTGGTATCAATGAGCTATGTGCCAAACTGGTACAATCGAGAGGATCTCTCTTCCGTTCTGCAAGACAGGCAACAACATATGATGAAAACGTCTGCTCCCCCAAAACAATGGAAGAAAAAAAAATGTTATTAGCATCTAATCTGGATTTGCTTTAAAAGGGGGGAAGGGATAACGAGGCTCAAAACTAGCTTAGACAGGTTACCGGCGAGAGGCAGCATTCTCGAAGCAATTTCATATGCAACAGGAAGTACAGCAGGTGGGTCCAGGATTGCTCCATCTTCAGTGAAAAAATAATCAAAAGCCCACTCCGTGTATGGGTCTTTCTCAGCTCCAGAAAGTGATGTCTACACAAAGGAAAAAAATTGCTAGGATTTTCAAGACTGCACAAAAGGCAGAGCAGAACTAGCTCAACAGGCAGGACAGGGAAAGCTCCTTGCTAGGCCCTTAGCTCGGTATGCCTGCTTCTGTTCCCTTACACAAAAGACAGAAGACAGCCCATTGGTGCTGAAGTCTTTTGGAATGGAAGAGAAGCAACTTTCGGTCTCCTTTGAGGAGAAAGGTGGGGTATAAACGAGGTATACAACAACAACAGGCCCTTATGCAATCCAAGCCCTGTCCTTATTTGAGTTAAGAATGAAAGCAAACAAACGAAAGAAGAGGAGCCCATTCAGAGCACATTTACACATCTCACACTTCATCTCTTTCCCCTTAGCACAGATTCCCTTTGTGCCCTAGCTTGAACCAGAAGGCATCAGTATGAACAGCTAATATATGTGGTCCCACATCACCTTTGATATAACTCCAGTGTCTTCCATTTGGCACTTGTCATAAATTTCACAGGCAGACCTCGTATATCTGCAAAGCTCTACTGCATCTAATAAGAGATCTGTGAGGAAAAACTAAAGTGAAGGTTTACGTTCTCTGGAATAAAACACACGGCTTTTAAAAAACAACACTTTTTGCATGAAATGAATAAACAAAAGTTTTAAAGCAATTTAAACTACCCCAGAAAGCTTTGATTTAAGCATTAACAAGCCTGCAATATTCTCACGTATTTAAAATATTCTTCCATATTAACAGTTTGTTAACATGCTCTGCTGTCAGTTTTGTGGAAGGACAATTAACAGGAAAGTCAGCATTGGAAAATGCACATTCTGCAGGCACAGAAGTTTCCGGAATGCACAGGTAGGTACCACCCTTCTGCTGGTTCTCCAAGCCAGGGAAAACATGTACAGCAATACATAAAGTAGTAAAACTAATCCTTAAAAGTCAGATTCTTCCACATTTAATGTTTTGCATCTTACATCCTGGAGACCATATTTTCCCAGAAGGCAACACTTGAAAGTATGGCAAGCATTTACCGCTGCCGCAGATTGTAGCTGCCTGGCACGCCGTGCTGTGGACCACCTCTGGAAGACTTAATCCTTCATATGTGACTGTCATGCTATTGAGATCAAACGTATGACAGAGCTTTTGACTTGCTAAAAACAGCAACTCTCCTGCTTGTTCGTTGCGGTGACGTTCATAAAAATCCCTGGAGGACGGGGGAGGAGTAGAGGAAAGGGTTAACTTGAGAAACAGAAGTACCTATAGACAACAAAATAATTCAACAAGGCACACAAAGTTCCAGACAGTACACTGAACAATAATGTTATGCAAAACAAATAAATCACTCCCTGGAAAGCCCCAACCCATCTGGGACCAGGAAGCCTCAAGGACTGCCTGCTCCCGTTATCAATCTGCTCAGTCATCTTCAGAGACTGCAATCTAGGTACCCCCATTTTCAGAAGTGAATGAGTGCCTGGATAGCTTTTGCTCTGTTAATGCAGTCCCACCTTTGCCACTTTCCTTCCAGCAACCCAGAAGTGCCAAATAGGTTTAAAATTTAGGTAACTAGCAGGAACCTTTCCCCCCTCCTGATATTTGTAGTTGATATCAAACATTAGTTGGGGGCTGTTTAAGATCCGTGTCTATGATTAACAAAGCTTTGTTCACTTGAGGCACCTGCGTTCTCTGTGGGGGCTCCTATGTTCTGAAACGGCCTTGCCCAAGGAGTTCAGGAAGGCCCCCACACATCTGTCATTGTGAAGAATGTGCAAAACAGAAACATTCAGGGGGGTGCTTTTATAAAGAAATGAGAACTGTAGCATAACGGCTCAGGACGCCACTTTTGTAGGGGAACAGGATTGTAGTGTATTACAACAAACAGTGCAATAGTCTAAAGACTGCGTGCATCGCCTTGCTTTTTAATGTATCTTCTTCAACTTTTGTAATCCCCTTTCTGTCTTATGCCATGTCATGTTTCAGAAAGGTGACTGTCTTGCTCACTCTAATCCTAATCCCATTGCATTGTTTATTGGATGTTTTACACTGACTGAAGTGCTTCTGTAGTTCGTAATCTGCCTTCAGTCTCAGTGAGGAGAGCTGGCTCTTTGAAACAGTGATTTTGTGCCGTGGTTTGGTCATCAACTTTACAATGCTGTTTATTATCCCATTTTGCTAGTGTTTGTTTTGAATTTCACAAGCTTTTGAGCTGAGAACACAAGACAATATTGAAAAGGAATGAGCAACCTGCATATCTTGAGTGCCTCTTCAACTTGTCTGGCATCCAACGCTTTCAGCACCAGCTCTGACCCCAATTTCAACTCATCCTGTTGAAGAAGTGAAGCCAGTCTGTAAAGTCTGAACTCTGACAGCGGTTTCTTTGCGTGGCTGTCCTTCGAACAGGCATCATCTTCTTGTGTTTTCCCATAAGCTTTAATATGGTCTTCAAGCAGCTGAGATCTTAGTATTGGATTCTCATAATCCTTGGCTGAAATTGTGATATCAAAACTCTCCTGAGCAAGAGGGAAGAAAAGGGGAAAATAAAGAACAAATGCAACCCTGCTGCTCCATCTCCATCTTCCCCAGACATGGTGAATTTCTTAACAATTACAAGTGCTGAAACAACACATGCCACATTTGGGATACAAGATGCTTTTCCTGGGACGCAGGATACTAACCCAGCAAAATCCAGTTTTGTCTACTCTGACAGGGAATAGCTCTCTGTGGTCTCAAACAGGGATCCCCCCCCCCCCGTGTGCCTTTTGACTGCAGATCCTTTATAATTGGAGATGGTGGAAATGAACCTGGGATCTTCTACATGCAAAGCACAGACCCACTGAGAGTAATAAAGAAGCTGTTTGTTTTTACTGGCACACAAGGGCATTTATATGAGCATACACCCAAAATTACATTTAATTTGTAATTATTACATTCACTTTAACAGACTGCACAAATTAACTTCTCCATACTATTCTGTGGCCATTGAATCCTCTTACCTGCAAGGTAACAAGAGTTTTAAACACTTCTAAATCTGTTTCATATTCTGCTTTTTTCACAAGATTTTCTGTAGGAAAAGGAGAAGTGCAGGGGGATTAGGCCCTTGAACTGTGGGTCACAAATATAAATAGCTATAAAGAGAGATAAAGCAAGATTACCTTTCTGAATGTTCAGTAAGAACTTGAGGATGTTCACAACCATCTTTTTCACGGACAGCTGCATTTTTGGCTGTGGAGCAGGGACGAAGGGTGAAAAAGAATACATGAAGCTGGTACTCGCGAGGCTGAAGTGTTAAAAAGGCAAACTTTGTTGCCCTGTTCTGTCCTCACAACCACCCTGTAAGGTAGGCTAGGCTGAGTGTGTGACTGGTCCAAGGTCACCCAGCGAGCTTCCGTGGCACAAGTGGGGACCCAGACCAGTGTTCCCTCTAAGCTGAGTTAGTGTGAGCTAGCTCACAGTTTTTTTTATAGCCTCCAGCTCACACACTTTTGTCTTAAGCTCAGGAAGGACGGCTCCGGAGCAAACTAATCGATGCCGCCGCCCAATCCGTCGCTCACGACTTGAATGCCAGTGGCTCACAAAGTAGAATTTTTGCTCATAAGACTCCACGGCTTAGAGGGAGCCTTGATCCAGACCCGGGTTTCCCAGATCCTAGTTCCACACTTTAACCGCTACACCATGCTGGGGACGTGTCATTTTGCTTGTGGGCTGCTTGCAGGGCCATTTTTGGGCAGGAACGCACAGGAACGGAGTTCCGGCTGGCTCCCAAGTTGGCCACGCCCAGCAGGAACTCATTAGCATAATAGGCCACACCCAACAGCAGAAACTCATTAGGATTGGCTACATTAGGGGTGTGTGGCCTAACATGCAAAGGAGTCCCTGCTACAAAAAAAGGCCCTGGGTTTTGACAACAAACAAAGTAAACAGAATAACAAGCAAAAGGTGGCTGTGGCTGGCTAACCACACTTCTGGTAACATGTGGGTGCGGCCTAATGTGCTAATGAGCTGTGCTGTCAGGGGGTGTGGCCCAATATGCTAATGTTGGGTGTGGCCTATTATGCTAATGAGTTCCTGCTGGGCTTTTTCTACAAAAAGAGCCCTGGCTGCTTAGTTCTTGAGTCACTGGGGGTCTGTCTGAAGCTCTTGCCCTGTGCTCTGACAGAATCCGGGGTGGTGGTGGGCAGTGTTCCCTCTAAGCTGAGTTGGTGTGAGCTAGCTGTTGGATCCCCAAGCATCGAGAATAAATCCACGTTTTGAAGAAAAGCAAAATTTATTTCAAAGCTTTGGAAAGACACTCAAACACGTTCTTTGTTAGAACTGACTACAAACGGTTAGGGCAAACAAGATAAAGGGGTTTGAGCCAGGTACAGGACCAATGGGTCACTTTCCCGCTGGCGGGTGAAAGGAAACGGTTGCACGCTCATTCCCTGAGAACCAGGCTATCTCCAGACATAATACAGGTGCAGTTCCCAGGCTCTAAAAGCAACAAGCTGGCAGTTAAGCTTACTCCCCCAATACATCCTCCAGTTGTTTGGCTTAGGCATTTCAGCAGAGTAAAATACAGGCGCACAGGCAGGGGGGGGGGTAGCAACTGTACAGAGATACAACTAACGCAGAACACCATGGCAGCTCGCTGACACTAGCTCACAGTTTTTTAGCCTCCAGCTCACAGATTTTTACTCTAGCTCAGGAAGGATGGCCTCAAAGCAAACTAATTTATGCAGCAGCCAAATGGCTCGCTCACAACTTTAATGCCCGTAGCTCACAAAGTAGGATTTTCGCTCACAAGACTCCACAGCTTAGAGGGAACATTGGTGGTGGGTCTTCTGAAGGATGAGCAGAGTCGTCGGATTCCAACTGCTAACGCCTGACACTTGGAATGGAACCACAGCTCTCAGCTATGAAGTCAAAGTTCAAGCCACACAGCTCTTACTGGATCGCGCTAAATGGAGCTTTGCACGGGAGTTCAGAAGGAGAAGTGTAAGGGGCAAAGGGAGAGGACCCCTAAGATCATGCTTCTTTAGAAAGGACACATGCGTAAAAGTCCCGTGCGAGTTCAGTAGCAGGGCGAGGAAGTCAGGGCACTAGGAATTGCATCTTTCCCAGTACAGGGACCTGCCGTTTCAGACAAGCTCCCAAATCAACAACTTTAAACAGCATCAGTCAGGAAGGCAGAAAACCAGCAGGGGGTGGGGGACTATTGAGCAGAGACTGACACATGCCAATTACCTGCCCACCGCTCTGGTTGCAAACTCAGTGCACGGAGCTCTCGGAGCACCAAGTCCATTCCCTCGAGGGCAGGGTTGCCAAACCTGGAGAAACTCAGGTATGTGGGAGAGACTCTCAGGGGCCCGCTAGATCTACCCTGAAGCTGGGCAGTCATGGAGATTCAAATATATGCTGACAGGACTTCAACTCATACAGAAAGGGAGTGTGACGGGGACCTTGGGTGTTGTAACCGGATAACTCAGTGAAAATGTCAACTTGTATGTGGCAGCAGTGAAAACAGCTAACTCCATGCTGCGACTTATTCAGAAAGGAACTAAAAATAGGACGGCCCGTATTGTAATGCCCCTGCTTATATCCTGTGGTGTGGCTTTGCCTGGAATTCTGCGTACAGTTCTGGTTGCTGCAGCTCAAGACAAGACCCTGCAGCACTAGAAAGGGTGCAGAAGAGGGCAGCCAAGTTGATTAAGGGTTGGATCTCCTTTCCTATACAGAGAGGAAGGAGGTCTGCGGCTTATTAGTTGGGGGGGGCAAGTAAAGGGAAACACCAACAGAGGCTTACAGAATCACGCATGGGGTGGAGAAAGGAGATAGATTTTTTTCTCTTCCCATAATGATAGGAAATAGCCATGGCAACTAGCACAGAAGAGTTTGAAAGTCTTTAAGGGAGCATAGGTCCATCAGTAGCTACTAGCTATGATGACTAAAGGGGACCCTCCACATGCAGCAGCAGTAAACCTCTGAATACCAGCAACAAGGAAGCCACCTTGGCCTGAGATGGTTGGCCCTCCTGACCAAGTGACTGGCCACTATATGAAACAGGGTGCTGGACCAGATGGAACACTGGTTTGATCCAGCAAGGCTCTTACATTCTTTTGTAAGAAGAACAGACAATTGTCTGTTTGACAGCTCCTTCGGGTACTACACACACACACACACACTACTTATCTATGCTGCTTTACTTCATGGAAGTTACCTCTTCAAAGTCAGGAATTTTGTGCTCCAATAAGAGCTTCCCACGGATCAACGTTCTTTCTGCCATTTCCACCGCTTCGGTATGAGGCAAAGATATTAACACGTCTAGGACTTCTTCTCCCTGCAAGCATTCACAAAGATTAGTAGATCAACATACATCTGCAGAAACCAGAGAGGCTCGATAACCATTGAAAAACAAAAGGATGCTTGATTTGTTAACTGGCACAAGTGAAGGATAATTCTTTTATTTTATGATGGCATCCATGTGTAATCATGTTGCAGAACAGCAGCCTAACTGAGAAAACTGGAACTTTTGCATTTGGACTTGACTGTTCAGAAGATCCATTATATTTTAGCTTGCAGAATCTGGAAATTTAAGATTAATGATGTGCCTTCTTCTCTTCCAGAGGAAGATAATTAACAGGAAGCATTTTAATGCACAGACTTAGCAGCCGCGTTTGACATAGTCAATTACGATCTCATGACTCGCCACCTCGCCGATGAGGGGATAAGGGGGACTGCCCCTTGTTAGGGACAAAGGGTGGCACTTGGGAAGAGGGTTCCTCTGCGATGCCCGTTGGTATGCAGCGTCCTCTACCTGATGTTATTCAACATTTATATACGCCCCCTTGCCTAGCTGGTCTGGGGATTTGGGTTGGGATGACACCCAGCTGTCTCTGTTGATGGACAGCCATCTGGACTCCACCCCAGGGCATTAGAGGCTGTGGCTGGTTGGCTGCGGTGGAGTCAACTGAAACTAAATCCATCTAAGATGGAGGTCCGGTGCCTGAGCCATGGGGGTGGGGTTGGGGTTTTTTTTTTTTGAGAGCAGGAATCCAGGTCCCAGCCCTTGGCGGGGCATCCCTGAGGCCTGCGCCAATGGTGAGGAGCCTGGACGTGATTTCGGGTGCCTCACTTTCAGTGGAGGCTCAAGCCACAAACGTTGCAAGATTGGCCCTTTCACCATCTTCAGCTGGTCAGGCAACTAGTTCCCGACCTCTCCTCCCACAGCTTAGCCACAGTGATCCACGCAAGGGTCACCTCCAGGTTAAGACTATTGTAACTCGCCTCTACGCAGGGCTGCCCTTCAGTCTGACCCAGAAACTTCAGCTGGTTCACAATGCAGGGGTGCGTCTCCTGATGGGGACACCATTCACAGCTCATATCAACCGAGTGCTCCATCAGCCGCACTGGTTGCCACTTGCCAATTGAGTGCTGGTCAGGTTCAAGGCGATGGTATGAACCTTTAAAGCCCGATGAGGTCTGGGACCAACATATCTGCAGGACCGCCTCCCCCAATATGTCCCTGGAAGAGCGCTACGCTCCTCGGAGCAACGTCTCCACAGCCCGAAAGAATTCCATCTAGCCTTGACCGGGGCCGGAGCTTTTCCAGCTCTGGCCCTGGCCTGGTGGAACATGCTCCCAAGTGAGATCACAGCCCCGCAGTGCTTGTAAAACGGAATTGTTCCACCAGGCCTTTAGCTGAGGCTGTGTAAATGACATCGATCCAGAGGAGTAAGCCGTGTTAGTCTGTTGCTGCAAAGTAGTAAAAAGCCCAGTAGCACCTTTGAGACTAACAAACTTTATTGGAGCATAAGCTTTCAAGAAACACAGCTCTCTTCGTCAGATGGGCTTTTTACTAAATGACATCGGCCTCTCCTGCTCCACCCCCGTCCATCTCACCCCACTTAATTTATGGGGCTTCCACTAATCCAACTGTGTTACCGGTGGTGGTTATGTACATTTGCCCGATATTTTGTCTTATCCTGGGCAGGGCAGTTTTTGTAAAAAAAAGCCCAGCAGGAACGCATTAGCATAATAGGCCACACCCAACAGCAGAAATATATTAGCATAATAGGCCACACCCTGACAGCACTGCTCATTAGCATATTAGGCCGCACCCCCATGTTACCAGAAATGTGGTCATCCAGCCACACCCACCTTATGCTTCTTATTCTGTTTACCTTGTTTGTTGTCAAAACCCAGGGCTTTTTTTGTAGCAGGAACTTCTTTGCACATTAGGCCACACACCCCTAATGTAGCCAATCCTAATGAGTTTCTGCTGTTGGGTGTGGCCTATTATGCTAATGAGTTCCTGCTGGATGTGGCCAACTCGGGAGCCAGCCAGAACTCCGTTCCTGTGCGTTCCTGCCCAAAAATAGCCCTGATCCTGGGCATACAGGCTGGATTCATACAGGAATTCATGCTGAATTGTAATTCCCATCCTGTGGACTGTACTATTGGTGTTACTGGTTTAATACAAGTATGCTGGGATATTTTAATTGTTTTACCCTGTCGTGACCCACCCCATTGTTTCAGTTTGTTTTAACCCAGCAGTTTGAATATGTTTTTACCTTGTCTTGATCAATAAGGTCCATTATCCTCACTACATAGATTTCTGTAGTAGGCAGCATATACACTTTTGCTATTTTCAAAGCATCCTCTAATGACGAAGAGGTACCCCGTTTAACGATGTACCGTGCCACCCTCTGGAAAAGAAATGAATTAGGACACTGTAGCGGTTTAAGTATATACAATATGTCGCCCCAAAGAATTTCTTGTTTATACAATTACTTTTCTGCATTTATGTGCCCATTTAAGCACAGAAGGCAGGCTGTGATTCCACATGCAGGTCCATGTTTGTTCAACTTAAACCGATGGGACTTATTTCTGCAACATCCCACAGCAGGAGGGATTCACCGGCCACTTACCAGCATATCCTGCTTATCATTTAAAAAACTGGTGTTTCTTATGCCGTACTTTAGCAGAACTGTCTTCATTTCCATCAGCTGGTAACCCTCCTGCAGAAGCTTCACCCTGCATACAGAAATTGGAAGGATTTAGGGAAACCTCCACATTCATCCACCCATCCATTCATTTGTTGGGTTTATACCACCCTCCCTGCAAGCGGGCTCAACATGAACAGCAGCTGCCTGTGCAAGCCCAGACAACTCAATCCCAACTGCCGCAGCAGGCCTGCAGGGGAGGAGCAGGAGTTGTGGCGTGCCCCACCACCACCACGGAGGCTGGGGCACTGCGGGTGGGCGGGGGAGAGAGCCACTGGTACCCCCTTCTCCACCCCTGAGGTGGCAACGGAGGCACGTGGGCTAGGGAGGAGAAGTGGAGGGAAGGCAGCAGGGACAGCAACAGCAGTGGGGGAGGGAGTGGCTGACCAAGTGGGCTGCAGCAGGGTGCCGCTCCTGCAACTGAGAATCCCCCTTCCCCCTTGAGATCCTCGCAGGTCCCCTGGTTGTTTTAACCAGGGCTATTTTCGGGGCAGGAACGCACAGGAACCGAGTTCCGGCTGCCTTCAGAGTTGGCCACGCCCACTACAGCCAAAACCTCTGCGTGCATGGCTACAGAGGGAAGGCCTGGAGAGCGACACCCACCCACCCTGGCGACTCCAAGGCGGGCGGGCCAGGGAGGGCCCTCGAAGGATCGGAGAGGCATTTAAATGCTCCCCCGTGCCTTCCCTTCCCTTGGGGGGGGGCTTGCCCAGGCAAACCAGGGGAATGCACGGGGTGTGGCCTAATATGTTAATGAGTTTCTGATGTTGGGTGTGGCCTGTTATGCTAATGAGTTACTGCTGGGCTTTTTCTACCAAAAAAGGCCCTGGTTTTAACCTATTTGTCAGCTGCTTTGAAGACCTGCTTGGTGGGAAGGCAGCTTAGAAACAGAGTTGAATAAAGCCACGCTGCCGAGAAAGATTGTTGAAGTCCAAGTGTGAAGAGGCTTGAGTGAGTGAGATGCTCATTCTCTTACTTGGCATGATCCATTCCGAGGTACTGCTGCACCAATTGTTCTACTCCCGGACTCCAGGGAACCACGGTGCTATGCATGATTGCCAGCACCCCTTCAAACTTCAGCTACAAACAGAACAAAACAAATTCCTGTAAGATCTGGACACACCGCTGGCCCCTTGCTTCAGGGCCAGAAGAGTCTCCTATTGCATTTGGAAACCCCCCATGGGCAAACATCTGCTCAGTCATACTCACGTCTGTGTTAGACATGCAGCCCAAGACAGCAATAGCCCTTGCTTCCCACGTGGGACAAAAGACAGACGTCAACCGCGTACAGTACCGCTCCAGCAAGTCCTAGATGATTTTTAAAACCAGGGGTCATTTCCTACAGGAGCGGAGCTCTGGCAGTAAAGAGCCCGGGGGCGGGCACATGCAACAAGCCCCACCCCCTGCTCCCAGCAGCCCTCAGTCAGAGCAAGAAGCAGCCAGGTAAGTTGCAGAGCTCCCCCCAGCCCCCCGGTCCAAAACAGTCCAGTGGCACCTTTAAGACCAAGATTTATTCAGGTACAAGCTCTCCCTCCTCTGCGAGGACAGATCTCCACATCCCCCCCCCCAATAGCTAGCAATCCAAAAGTCCAGTGGAGCCTGAGCGGTGGGTGTTGCCTTCTGACACACTTCCTGTGATGCCAGGGGACGTGGCATATGCATATGTTATGCTAATGAGTTGTGCTAATGAGCTCCTGCACCTTTTTTTCTATGAAATGACCCCTGTTTAAAAGCATACTTCAGAAAACTAACAGAACAGCTCTGCCATGACATGAATATTCTCCAGTTCACAGTTAATCTATTGAAAATGCCATTCTTCTCACAGCAATTTATATTGTTTCCTGATTTGGCACGATTTCTATGCTGTTCTTTCATGACTAACCCTAACCCTAACACTAAACCCCCGTAAGGGAGGTGTTAGCCGGCGAATGGAATGTCCAGCTCGGAAGCCTGATAAAAAGACCTCTTCGGCATTAAGAAGCCTGTAATGGGCCAATTTGGCCAGGCGGTGACAGTGCGGCGCTACGATTCAAAGCAGCCCAGGAAGAATCAACGTCATCAAGCCAAGCCGAAAAGTGAATGCCTCCGGAACACGTCTGAAGCCTACAGCTGAACAAAAATCCCCGTCGGCTGCAAAATGTGTGCGATTTGAAGAATTATATGTTGTCCTCCCTTACCCCTATGAAATTGTTAGTCCCTTGTGTGAAACCGTGTAACTGTAAATCGCTCAGAGCCAGCAGCTCTGCCCAATTGAGCGATCAATAAATCGAAAGGTATTATTATTATTATTTCCAAAGCAGTTTACAACGTTTAACACAACTCGAGCCGTACAGTTTTAAAACAAAATTTAAAACGGATAAAACTTCAACCGAAGAGGCTGAACGACAGCAAGTGAGACCCAATTGCAAGCTGATGAAGAACAGAGCTCCCCATCGTGCCACTAGGGCTTCTTCTCTCCAGGGAATGTTGGTCTTTTTCTTTTGAAAAAAGTAAACAGCTTGGAAAACACTTGCTCTAAAGCCGCTTCGGCGGAAGGGCGAAATAAAAGCCGAATAAATAAATAAAGATGGCATTAAATAAATAAAATTCAAAAGCATAGCCTCAGCAGGACGGCTTGCTGGAATACACTCCTCTCCTCTGCCTGTCCTGAAGAGAGATCAAGTGCTGGGTAAAGTAAGCCTCCTGGGAAAGGGCAGTCCAGAATTGACAAGGAAGAAAAAAAAGCAGAACTTTCAACTGTACCCAGAAAAACTGGCAGCCAATTAAAAAAAAGTGCATTGGTGCACGCACCCTTGAGGCACGTGTTTTAGAGAGTCTGAAGTCTCCAAAAGGGGGTCCTGAATTACAGTAGTCAAGCCATGTTGTGACCAATGTTCCCTCTAAGCTATGGAGTCTCGTGAGCAAAAATTCTACTTTGTGAGCTACTGGCATTAAAGCTGTGAGTGAGAGATTTAGCTGCTGCCATCCTTCCTGAGCAGAGAGAAAAATGTGTGAGCCGGAGGCTAACAAACTCTGAGCTAGCTCACACTAACTCAGCTTAGAGGGAACACTGGTTGTGACCAGAGCAGGGTTAACTGCAGCCCAATCATTTCTTTCTAAAAGAGGGAAGAGTTGGTGCAGCAACCTCAACTGACAAAAGGGGCCTTAAGCAACAGGGACCTAAAAATAAGAGTGGATTTATTTGTAAACCACCAGCACCCTAAGAAAGAGCGCTTTCCCTGTCTTGGCCAGGTAATGGTCCATCCACCCTGGGTCAAAGAGCCCCCAACTTCTGATGCTGCCCTTTAGAACGGACTGGCTACTAGTCATGAAGATTATTTACACTAAAACACTTTGTTTTTATTTTGGAGTGTGAATGAGCATACCTTTATATACTGCAAGAGAATTTCATCTTTTTGTAGATCATGTTGGCACATATAGGGTTCAATAAATTTCTGTAAAGCTGCTGGAATGAGTTCTGCCACCAAAACTCTATCAAACATACGGAACGCTATTGTAGTTGCATTTTCCTGGGGGGGGGGGGGGGGAACACATACAAAAAAAAGCCGCTGAGGAATGATCTCTCCTCTGAAGTAAGGTAAGTAGCACACGTCAAGTATTATTGCACATAACTATCTACTGACCTCTGAAAATGCTTGACCATGGTACAAAGAACAGTCAACTCAGTCCACAGAAGTCTACATTAGACTTTCACAAACAGAAATGGTTATTTCGCTACACTGAAGCAGAGGCCTGTCAGTTCAGCGCTCTACTGCCAAGCCTGAAGCCTTGGGAAAGCTCAGAAGCAAGGCATGAGAGCAGAGAACAGCCACGCCTGGTCTTCCTCTAGCCCAGGGGGTCGGAGTGTATTGCCCACGGGCACCCTGGTGCCCACCAAGTGTTTTTAGAAAGTGGATGGCCCAGAAAGACTTCTGGATGCCTGTGCAGATTGTTAAAAACACTGCTTCGGCAGCAGCTGCCACCACAGCAGAGATACCCATTTTGTGACTGAAGGCAAGCTGTGGTAGCCATTTTGTGGCCCAAGGTCACCCAACAAGATTCATAGCGGTGTGTGAACTTGAACCTAGACCCTAATCTATAGCGCACTGGCTCTCCATTTCCCTAACAAAGAATAGGGATGCGTCAATAGGCTCTTTGTCATTTTCTCTACACCCTTTGTGACCGCAGGTGTTCTCAAGCTGTTGCTTCCCCCCCGCATAACCATAGCAGCCAAGTTTGATAGAAATTTTGCTGTTAAAACTGATGCTTGTTTTTGCATCACTTGTGTAAAGAAATAGACGGCTACCGTGTCATTCCAGAAGAAGAGAGCTCATGTCAGAACCTGGGAATCTTCTAATCAAAACATGCATCTAGCCCAAAACCATAAACTGGCCTCCCACAAGCCCTATGAATGCTACTGCTTTAATACCTTCTCAATCTCACAGAGAGTCAGCTTGCAGTTGTACTTTCTGTGAAGGTCTATCAAGGCTCGTAGATCTCGGATGAGTTTTGCCAAGTGACGGACCTCCTCACCCGTATCGTCCTTCTGAGATATAAAATCAACACAATCACTTCCCCATGAATCACGGCTGTATTTAAGACACAGACCTAACAAATTTCAGAGTCCCCCTAACCTCCCCACAAGGGCAAAATAAGAGCCTATAAATTTAACCAAAGCAAGTGTTTTGGGAGTAGGGCCTTTCACAGAATTCTAGCCCAACACACGGTTTCACCAGTAGCAGAATCCTTACCCAGAGAGTCCAGCACAACGAAGACCCCATTCTGGCTCTATCTGGATTACTGGTAAAAAACATCTGGGCCATTTCAAGTCCATTTTCTGGCCAGTTGGCCTGTTTGAAATCAGAAACCCGGATTAGGGCAATACACGCAGGAACCCGGGGGGGGGGGGGGAGCCTACCCCCACGGTCCCCCTTTGCTCCTCCTCCACCTGTCCTTCCCTGCCATCTTCTCCCTTGGCTGCTGCCTTGCCCACCACTGATGGCTGCTCCCTTCTTTACCGATTTATCCCACCAGGATCCCTGCCTACCCATGCTGCTGCTGCTGCCCTTCATCATCTCCAAGCTTGCCTCCCTCCCCTCACATGATGATGTGGGGAGGGGTTTCCTGGTCCGCCTGCCCTGCCTGCCACTCCCCTCACCCATGAGAGGCAGCGCTGCCTAAGCTGGCCCCAAGCTACAACCTGGCGTGCCATTAGGCTTGGCTGGCTCCACTACCTTGTCCCCCTCAATACTCAGGGCACACTTGTTTCCTGCTGGAGGGGGGGATTTCCCTCCTCCTTCATTTTCGATAAGTTTTTGGATTTTTCTGCATATTTTGGGGGTCCCCCAGAAACATATTCTGTCTACGTGGCCCCAACCCACAGATTTAAGTACCCGCAGATAGGGCCATGTCAAGCATTAGAGAGCCAGTTTGGTGTAGTGGTTAAGTGTGCACACTAATCTGGGAGAACCGGGTTTGATTCCCCACTCCTCCACTTGCACCTGCTGGATGACCTTGGGCAAGCCACAGTTCTGACAAGAGCTGTCCTTGAAAGGGCAGTTCTGGAAAGAGCTCTCTCAGCCCCGCCTACTTCACAGGGTGTCTATTGTGGGGAGGGGAGGGGAAGGGAAAGGAGTTTGTAAGCCGCTCTGAGACTCCGAGTGAAGGGTGGGGTATAAATCCAATCTCTTCTTCTAGATATATTGATGATGCATAGCTTTTAAAAGGAGAATTACTGTACTTTACCTTGTCAGTTAACTCAAGACTTCGGGCTTGTTGTTCCAGCCATTTTGCTATTATTTTCTGGAATACAAGAGTCAAGCTAGATTATATGTGTGTGAACACACACACACACACAAAATTCTTATCCTTGAATCTTGTCTGTACACAAAGCTTCCTGTAGTCTCCCACCCAAGGGACTTATCCGGTTCACCCCCGTGTAGCAAAGCTGTAGCCTTGGGTACGCCCAGGCTGCTCCCTGGGCTTTAAAAAACATTATGTGCATGTCTGCCTGTTCACCCATGTTGATTGACAGAAGGCCTTATACAAGGATTCATCCCTCCAGGAGATTACCTGTCCTTGAGGCAAAGCCAGATTTATGAAAGGCATGATCCCATCTTTAAACCACAAACAGAGCTCCTTGCGGGAAATGGTTGCAGAGATTGAGTCAAGCAGGTTCTCAAGCATTTCCACACTAAAGCGTTCTGTGAAGTCTCCCTAGAATGGAGTAGAAAGTGTTTAAGAAATAGTCCCACAACCCTAAGACCAGTAACAGTCATTTCTAACCAAGAATTCATAAATATTCAAATAACGCCGTATTACAGCAAGATGGACCACTGGCCCATCTAATCCAGTATGTCTCCTCTAATTGGCAGTGGCTGTCCAAGGTTTTAAGCGGAGGACTTTGCCAGCCTTATCACCCAAGAACCTTTATATGGAGATGCAAAATTATTTATTTATTTATTAAATTAGACTTTTAGGCTGCCCTTCCCTGAAAGACAGGGCTCAGGGTAGCGTAAAGGTAAAGGTTCCCTTGCTCGAAAGCCAGTCGAGTCCGACTCTAGGGTTGCGGTGCTCATCTCCGTTTCAAAGCCGAAGAGCCGGCGCTGTCCGAAGACGTTTCCGCGGTCATGTGGCCGGCATGACTAAACACCAAGGCGCACGGAACGCTGTTCCCTTCCCACCGAAGTGGTACCTATTTATCTACTTGCAATTTCTTGCTTTTGAACTGCTAGGTTGCCAGGAGCTGGAACTAGAGACGGGAGCTCACTCAGTCATGCGGCACACTCGGGTCTCGAACTGCTGAACTACTGACCTTCCACAGCCTGCAGTTCAGCGTCTTAACCACTTGAGCCACCGCAGCTCCTTCAGCGCAGCGTACAACACGATAAAATCCCAATACAATTCACGAACCACAGCTAAAAATTTCCAGAACTAAAATATAAAAATACTTTAAAAACATTTGAGACACTCCAGTTCATCTGATGGCAAAAGTTCACAGAAGATGCCGCAGCCTCACAGAGGAGGAAGGCTGGAGGAGATGGGAAGTGGGGGAAGCCCTGCTTTACCCACAAAGCCATGGGCCTCTCCAAGGACTTTCAGGAGGCTGTAACAAGCAGCAGCAGTGGGGGGAGAGGGGTGTGTCTGCTGTCACTTACCTGATGTCTTTTCCAGAGATAGGACGCAGAAAAGAGATTTCCTTCTGTCAGCTGTAAAAGAATGTCCTCAAAGACGTCTTCATTGTTCAGAAACGTTAGCCAAGTGGATCCACTAAGAGAGCACAAATTGCTGTTCACTCATAACCCACATTAAGAAATACACTGGAGTTATAAAGGTATAGGTGGCACTTAAAATGAAGTGATGATCCTATATTCAGGAGGGTTTTCCTGTCCAAAAGGGTGTTCAATTCTGAAATCATGTAGCAGACAATGAACTTTTGGATTAGGTGAGGCCAGCGATTAATGCAAAGCCAAGATACTCTGTTAGTTGATTCCTGCTTCTAGGTTCGACACATATAGAGCCAATCTAGCTCTATACAGAACATTCACATTTGTCAAAATACAGTTTGGGAGGTTTTTTTCTTCCAGTATGCCAGCGTATGAAGGACCTCTGAAGACTACAAATTCCAGTTTCTATCTTAATGGAAACTGGTAATCAAAGGTAATTTTCTCTAACCGTTCATGTAATAAAAGTCTGCAGAGATGGAAAATGTCAGGTGCCGATGTAAATTTGCGCAATTTTTTTTCTAGAAAGATTACTAAATCACACATAAAGCAACAAAAAAGAAAATAAAAGAAAAAAGGTAAACCTGAATCTTTTTGGACCAAAAGCTCCATAAAAAGTTGTCAGCCTTGCTTGGGCCTGCAGCACCTAAGTGGAAACAAAGTTTTCTTTTATCCAAAAAAACTCCTTAAATATTAAACCCATATAAGAATCTTGAGCTAGATGGACCGTTCTCTAGGTAGGGAACCCCCCCCCCCGAACCTCCCTATCCACTATACTGGCACAAAGATCTGGATGTAAGATACAGCATGGTGTAGTGCCTGAAGTGTTGTTTGGCCAGGAGACCTGTATTAGAATTCCGATTTGGCCACAAAGCTCTTTGGAAGAGGGGACATTGTATGTGAGAACCAGGCAGGTGTGCATTCTGTCAGAGAGCAGCTACAAATGAGAGACAGCAAATACTCCTGGTCTTTAGTGTCTGTTTACATGACTGTTTACAGAGGCTACATTTACTTCCCTAACACTCACGTCCTGGGGTGCCTGAGAGAACAGCAAATACATAAATGTTTTAAATGAATAAGTAACAGATGGCGGCATGAAGTTAAGTGATTTTGAAATATATTTCAAAATTCACACTCCTGCAAATCTTTAGAAAACCTGTGAACATTTAATCCCAACCTAGTTCCATCCCAGATAACATTACTAACTCAAACTCCCAATATTCTCTTCCCATTTTCTAGTACAAACACGAATGGGTGGCATAGCTTTATTTTCTTACCATTGTAAGAGATGCTGAATTCCTGTTAGCACGAGAGGCAATGATTGCGACATCTCTGTTGGAGACCTAGAATAAGCAAGACAAATGATAAATTGAGTTGCAGTCCAGATGTTAATTGCATACGCAAGGTTTGTAGCAATGTTTGCTCCTGTTACAGGGCTGACCATACGTATCAAAACCTACCCTGTTTTCTGCGTAGTTGAGCATTTCGTGTGCTATTTCATATGTTGGCCAAGGGGTATTTATGCAGCACTCAACCACAAACTGGTTATCCTATTTAGAGAAAGGAGATAAAAGGCTTCTTAAATTAGCTTCCACACAAGAGATAAACACGAGTTACACAGAGCCGAGACCAGGGGTCCTTTCCTGCAGGAGCGCAGAGGAGCAGAGCTCTGGCAGTAAAGAGCCCAGGGAGCAGGCACATGCAACAAGCCCCACCCCCTGCTCCCAGCAGCCCTCAGTCAGAGCAAGAAACAGCCAGGTAAGCTGCAGAGCCCCCCCCCCAAATAGTCCAGTGGCACCTTTAAGACCAAGCTTTATTCAGGTACAAGCTCTCCCTCCTCTGCGAGGACAGATCTGCACGTTCTCTTTCCCCCCCCCCCCCAATAGCTAGCAATCCAAAACAGTACAGTGGAGCCTGAGCGGTGGGTGTTGCCTTCTGACACACTTCCAGTGATGTCAGGGGGTGTGGCATATGCAAATTAGCTATGCTAATGAACCCCTGCACCTCTTTTTCTGCGAAATGACCCCTGGCCGAGACTATACCTTTATTTTATTTAAGTTTTCTTTCGCTTGAGCCACAAGGTCTTGCCTGGATGACTGTCCATCATGGTCCAGAGATTCTGAAGTCAATCTTTCCAAAACAGAGCTCACTTTCATTTTATAAACAAGCTGCATACAAAGACAACAACAACGTTATTCCAGGTCCAAAAGAGGCCTGCAAAGCAGGGAAGCATGGGCTATGCATGTGTCATCAGTACCCTCAGAGTAAGATCAGAATTACCGTGCCCCACAAGTGTGAATGCACGCACACGCAGAGTCAACAACTCTTAAAATTAAAGACCGCCAGGCTTTCTTAATTGATTCTTTTTTGTATGTATTTTGAGTGTGTGCGTGCGTATGCCTGGAAGTCCTGGTTGACTTTTGGTGATCCCTAGTGGGGCTTGGACGTTCAGAAAGGTCTCCCTTCGACTACTTACACTGGTGGATCACATGTCCCAAAGTCCTTCCCTTCTGGAAAGAAATCCTTAATCAAACACAATCCATAACTGGCCTAGACATCATACCCACCCCTGAGGATTTGTTTTTGAACAGGTGGGCTGAACGCCATGTTGCGCCATCAACTATAGAAAGGGTCGCCCCAGGGCTATTTTTGGGCAGGAACGCACAGGAACGGAGTTCCGGCCGGCTTCAGTCGGCCACGCCCACTACAGCCAAAACCTCTGCGTGTGTGGCTACAGAGGGAAGGCCTGGAGAGCAACCACCCCCTGGTGACTCCAAGGCGGGCGGGCCAGGGGGGCACCAGGAAGGATCGGGAGGCATTTAAATGCCTCCCCATGCCTTCCCAGCCTGTCCATGGGTCGGCTTGCCTGGGCTCCCCGCAGCCACACGGCACTCGAGCAAGTCACGGGAAGGCATGCAGGTGTGGCTTAATATGCTAATGAGCTGCACTGTCAGGGTGTGGCCTAATATGGTAATGATTTCCTGCTGGGCTTTTTCTACGAAAAAAAAGCCCTGGGTCGCCCTAATGCTTTTTGCAGCCAAAACGGTCATTGCCTCGCGTAGCGTCACATCCTGGCGACGGCGGCGCAACGCGTATTGCTGTCCCCCGCGGCAGGGATCCTGTGAAGACGCACAGATCCCCCGCCGCGGCTTGGCAGCCCTAATTATATGTAATATGCTTTATCTTCAAGACGTTACTATGATAGTTAATGTTACTATGGAAAATAAATAAAAACTATTGTAAAAAAAGAAAAGTCTCCCTTCCAAGTCCTTGTCAGGGTCGGCCCTGCTTAGCTTCCTAGATCTGACGCAATCAGGCTTGCCCGGGCTATCCAGGTCAGGGCGACCTCCAGAGAGCGATTAAAATGTGGAAGCGGCTGCCAGAGGATGTAGTGATAGCCACAGGAATGAACAGCTTTAAACGGGGACTGGATCGATTCATTGAGGAGAGGTCTGTCAGTGGCTACTAGCCATGCTGACTGTTCTTACCAACAGCGAAAATAAATCCACAAGAACTGTGCACAGTGCGCTCAATATTTCTTTAACAAAAATCGTGAAGTTATGAATATGAAAGCACAAAAGTAATAATAATACATTCAAATTATAGATTCAGGTACATAAAGATAGAAGGTGACAACAACGGGACGGTAGTCTCCAGAATGCAGTGCCGTTTCGACAGACGTCTTCTTCTAACTTCTTCTAATGTATGAAAAATTGCACTTCAATGGAAAAGCTGCCCAATTTACATGGAGTTTAATAACAGTTTCACTTATTACCTTGCACAAATAATGGAGAATATCTCTCAGACAGATTGAAGCTTTCTATCTTTATGTACCTGAATCTATAATTTGAATGTATTATTACTTTTGTACTTTCATATTCATAAGTTCACGATTTTTGTTAAAGAAATATTGAGCGCACTGTGCACAGTTCTTGTGGATTTATTTTTGCATGTCTATGGACTGTGACCATATTAATTTTGGCTCACCAACAGTGAAACAAAGGAAGTGTAGACTGTTAACACCACTGTGGTATTTGGTTTCCAGTCCAGAAGTTGTGGCTTGTTTGTTCTTTTATGTTTTTAGTCGACTGAGAACAACTTTGGCGACGGCCGTGTTGACTGGAATGAACGAACAGGCATAAAAGCCGACAGAGAAAATCCTTTTGTGGTTTTGTAATTGGCAGTAAACAATGGGGATCTAATTCACAGGCAGAAGTTCTTTACCTCAACTTCTAGTCCAAAATGAAGAGCAAAACTCTCAGCCTCAGTAAATTTACGCTTGCGAAGTAAACGACTCAGTCTAGGAAGAGAGAGGAAACAAAACCTGTACTCCTGCACACTTTAAGAATTCCAAGGCAATCTTCCAGGCTTACACAGAGTTCCCTCAGTTCTGCAACCCGAAGTCTTCTGCCACCAGGCTTACACAGAGTTCTGGTGCTTACCTTTAAAGCCCTACATGGCCTGGGTCCGACATACCCGAGGGACCGCATTTCCCCACATATTCCCCAAAGAGCACTTCGGTCGGGGTCACAACACCGGTTGGTGACCCCGGGCCCTAAGGAGGCGAAGCTTGTTGCAACAAGGGCCAGGTCCTTTTCAGTGGCGGCTCCTATCTGGTGGAACAAGCTCCCGGAAGAGATCAGGGCCCTGCGGGACATTTTGCAGTTCCGCAGGGCCTGGGATTCCTGCCAAAGCTTGGAAAACCTTCCCATGCAGTGACTACACACTACTAAATAAACCATGAGTCCCTTTCAAACCAGCATGCATAGAATTGGGCTGCTAGGCCCATTGATTTCACTAGGAAAAATCAGCACCAGGCTTTTCTGCAGCTGAACTCAACGGTTCTCCAAGAACTTAGTTTACACTGAAGCCATACTATTATCCAGATATATATACATACCTGTCCTCAGGAGCAGCTTCTGTTAAGCACCTCATTACCAGAAATGAGACCGGAATATCTGAAGACCTAGAAATGAATGCCCAGTTAGACCAGGTTTTAACAAAAAATTGGAAATAGAGCATTATTTTACTTTCAATTAAAGAGCAAACTTACTTTTGGTTATTTTCATAGATACCTTCCAAAAAGTATATCGTATCCTGCAACAGAAGCCATATTTTGAGTGTCGCTTGTAAAATAACATCCTCTGCAAGGTTATTTGCAAATCAGATCCACTGATTCATGCAAGTGAACTGACTGAGGACATTTAAACCTTCCTTACCTGGGAAACTCATTTTCTTCCAAACTCTGAACATAACTGTTTTACCTCTGACTTTTGCTCTCTCACATTGGCCCTCCACAACACCTTCATCCTAATCCCAATTTACTTGGAAGTGAAATACAGAGAGATAAAAACATACTGTATTTATTCCACTTTGAACCAGTGTAGAAATGTTCATTACTTCCAAAGAGTAGAGTTGGTGCAGGGCAGGCAGTGTAAAAACCACAATGTTCCTCATCTACGGAGAAAGGATTTTAGAAAGTCATCAATGATGGTGACCCAGTAAAATATGAAGAACAAACCACCAATCCCAACCCACGCATTTCTGTTATACTCCCCCACCTTCAGGAAGTAGTAAATGTGAATATTACACCCATTAACTGGAAGATACCAACAATCTAAGCCAGTGGTTTTGAACTACATTCTGACATTCTGGTATTGCCACTTTCCCCTCTGCAGGCCACATAAAGGAAGACATTTTGCTGATTTTTTGCTGACAGAAGTTGGCACTCAATACCTGTTTGTCACCATCAGGTTCCGTCAATGCGACCAGTTGATCACTGAGACTCCCCTGGCTAAAGAGAAGGAAAAGACGGCATATTACTTGAAGAACAGAAGAAGACTTTAAGAAGATGTCTCTAACTTAAGGAGTCTCAAAGTGCCTTACAATCGCCTCCCCTTCCCCTCCCCACAACAGGCACCTTGTGAGGCAGGTGGGGCCGAGAGAGTTCTGTGAGAACCATGGCTGGCCCAAGGTCACTCAGCAGGGCTTTATGTGGAGGAGTGGGGAAATCAAACCCAGTTCTCCAGATTAGAGCCAGTCATTTTAACCACGACACCACACTGGCTCTCTTTGATAAGTTATGAGCCGTCACGTTTAAAAATTATTTCAGCCCTAGCAGAATGCTCATGCTCCATGTTAAGGTGCCCCCACCCCATTTATTTTTAGCCTGCCGCTTGTAACTGGCCTACGGCTGCTGTTTATAGGCTTATGATGGAGGAGGAGGAGGAGAGGAGGAGGAGATTGGATTTATGTCCCGCCCTTCACTTGGAGTCTCAGAGCGGCTTACAAACTCCTTTCCCTTCCCCTCCCCACAACAGACACCCTGTGAGGTGGGTGGGGCTGAGAGAGCTCTGACACAAACTGCTCTTTCAGGAACAGCTGTGCCAGAGCTTGTGACTGACCCAAGGTCCCATCAGCAGGTGCAAGTGGAGGAGTGGGGAATCAAACCCGGTTCTCCCAGATTAGAGTCCGCACACTTAACCACTACACCAAACTGGCTGATGTGGCAGCTAGAGCTTTAAGCGCTTGCTGTAATTTCTGTTTTACTATCCCAATACCAAAACCAATTTAGGCTGGTCAAGTGTCTGAACTGTCACCTTCGGGTTGGAAGCTGCCTCAGAAGCAAAGTGCAGGGCACAAATGTGAAATAAATCAAGTAAACATCGGTGGGGGCCCCCTGAAAGATCTCACCATCAGATGCCAGCGGAGAGGACAGGTCTGGTTCCCACTGCAAAAATCCCCCAAATGCAAATGTCCCCCATAGGAACAATTGCCAAACTTGCAACTGTCCCACTGCGTGGGGCTTGGAACAGGCTAAAGCAGGGGTGTCAAACATGCAGCCCAGGGGCCGAATCAGGTCCCCAGAGGGCTTCTATCAGGCCTTCAAGGGACTGGCTGTCTCCTGCTTCTTCCTCTAGTTCTGCTGCTGCTGCTGCATCATAGCTTGCTTTCCCAGACTCTCTCAATCGCTCAGGAGAGATAGATAGGCAAGCCCCTCCCCCTCCCCAATTGCTACAGCACAGACATTTTGACGCAATAATTCAGAGCAAGAGGTGTCAGTTATCAGAGACTGTTAGTTAAACAAAATACTGCAAGAACGCTAATGTTTCAGGCATGTCTTTATTTTAAGTAAAAAAAAAAATCTTTGTGTTTGTATCCTTTATAAAGTTTATATCTCCGCTCCCTGGCATTACATTTTATGACACACGTGGCCCGGCCCAACAAGGTCTCATTTATGTCACATCTAGCCCTCATGAGTTCGACACCCCTGGGCTAAAGACTAATCCTTATGATACCAACCATTGATAACCAGCTGGTGGGGGCGCATCACTCCTATTCTGACATCCCTTTATTGGCTGCCAAACAGTTACTGGGTCCAACCCAAATTGACTGGCGCTCACCTTTAAAGCCCTTCATAACCTGGGACCTGCATAGTTGAAGGACTGCCTTTCTCTCTCCCTGCACGTTCCCGTGGGCCACCTTTGTTCTTCCAGCAAGTTTTATTGCTGGCGCACACACACCCTTACCTAAGAAATATTCAACAATAATTTGAGCTCCGGCCCTCTCGGTGGTTGCCCCGTGCTTTTGGAACAGCTGGCTGGAAGAGGTCAGGGGTGCTCCTACCCTCCTTGCAAGGCCACAAAACTGCATCGTTCTGAGGAGCATCTCAATAGCTTCAGTCAAGGCTGCTTCTACCTGCATAGCCCCATCCTGAGTCATACCTGGGATGCTGGGAACAGGTGTGTATTTCTATGTATTTCTATGTATATGAACTCAGGTGTGTGGAGCCACGCCCTAATATATGATTACTTGGAAGCAGGGGCAGACTGGGAAGCCAAAGCTGACCGGGAAAAGGTCCCCACCCCTTCCTGCTCTGCACCTACCCCATGTAAGGAGGAACGGCTGGTGAAGACAGCTGTAGGCAGTTCCAAAGGGGGGGTGTGTGTCAACTGATTTCACTAGGACTTTCCCAGTGGCCATAATGGCCAATCCACTTGTGTGGAAGTAAACGTCACTAAATTCAAAGGTGATTGTTTTTTGCATATATGCTTTTAAGATAGTGGGGAAAGGTATTAGACCTCGCTAGGGGAGTAACAGTTGCCGTGTCAGGTAAGACTAAGGAGTCATCTAGTCCCACACCTCATTTCCCAGTGGCCAGCCAGATGCCTCCAGAAGGCCTACAAGCAGGGCACAAAGGCCAAGCCCCTCCCATGCCAGTCCTCAAAAGCAACTCTGTGAAGCGTAAGAGAGCACGTTCTGCCATGGAAGGTATGCTCCCGTTATCCACAGGTTACCCTGCTACTGATGAACAATCTGATACTTACATCAGAAGAAATTCTTCAATGTGAACCGAAGGCCGATCCCAAATCATAACGAACGAGTAAACATCCCACATGCTTAAGACATTCTACAAAAGAAGAAAACAACAATATTTGACACATATTTATACATGGGGGAAAGATCTATTTCTTTTGATAGTCTGACGTGTTAAAAAAATAAATCCATTACATTTAAATCTTTCACACTTCAGATTACTGGGTAATAAACTGGTAGAGGTAATCAGACCAAACTTAGAAATTCATAATTTTAACCTGGCCCTTTGAACGAGTATCAGATGGACATTTCTATCCATCAGAGCAAAAGACAGACTTCTGGTCAAAAGATGCCCCTAATGTTACCAAACGTTCTCAACACATTACTGGATGTTATTCTGTTACTTACAGTTTAAGAGCAAGGCAATTATGTGAAGGGACATTAAGCTATAGGTGCCCCTGTATCCCACTAGATATAGTAAACACTGCTTTGGACTAGAATTCTCTACAATGACCTTCTCCCCATTACATTTGAAAGATACTGAAATTATGAAACCTAATGTTACACAGAAGCCTTTACAAAAATCAGTTAATAAAAGTGTACTTGCCTCATCATTCAAGACGTACAACAAATTATCTACACACTGAAGCTGTTTTACAGCTGCAAAAACAAAACACACATATTGGTTTATTAGTTTTACCCCCAGGGAAAAAACTAGCTGAAGCAAAAAAGTATAAGGCAGGGGTGGCCAAACTTGCTCAACGTAAGAGCCACATAGAATAAACATCAGATGTTTGAGAGCCACAAGAGCTACATGTGGCTTCCGAGCCACAGTTTGGCCACCCCTGGTATAATGTATCAGGGATGCAAGAGGCAAGTCCCAGAGACCATCCTCTTTGCCAGTATGGTCGCTTGCTGGTGGAAAAGGCTGCCCGGCTTGCAGACGGCCAGAGGGCAGTGCTGTAGCTACCAAATCAGTAGCAATCAAGGGACTGAAGGCACCAACCAAGTTCCGCCTGGCCCTATAAAGGCGCTAACTCTGGGTTGGTTCTACAAACGGGGCAACTTATCATTCAGGCACAGACTGAGCTCCTCGCCAACTGCCTGTTCCCCTGCTTGCGGCCACACAGCCAATCCTGCCAAAGAAAAGCCCACCTGCGAATCGCTTTATAATAGTTTTGATGGAGAAAGATCGGATATGTTGCATGCTGAAGTTAAGCACATGCCTAAGGCAGGTTTATAAATAACCATCAGGGTTACAGAGAAGCAAGAGAAGAGCTTGGAAAAGGCGGGCAGTGTCCAACAAAAACTCAAGGGGCAATGAAAGAGCTGCCAGTGGCTCAAGAAAGGGATCTGTGCCTTGCACTGGTTTCCTCTGCCTTCCACACAGTTGCCACGCTCCTCCCGCCCCTCAGCTCTCAGCCTCTATGGCACTGCTACTCCAGCTGGTTCCACCATAAGAACATAAGAGACGCCAATGTTGGATCAGGCCAAAGGCCCATCCAGTCCAACACTCTGTGTCGCACAGTGGCCAGAAATACCAGGTGCCACCAGGAGGTCCACCAGTGGGGCCAGGACATTAGAAGCCCTCCCACTGTTGGCCCCCCCAAGCACCAAGAAGACAGAGCATCCCTTGCCCCAGAGTCCCTATCTATACCTTGTGGCTAATAGCCACTGATGGACCTCTGCTCCATATGCTTATCTAATTCCCTTTTGAAGCCATCCATGCTTGTAGCCGCCACCACTTCCTGTGGCAGTGAATTCCGTGTGTTCATCACTCTCTGGGTGAAGAAGGACTTTCTTTTATCTGTTCTAACCTGACCGCTCAGCAATTTCATGGAGTGCCCACGAGTTCTTGTATTGTGAGAAAGGGAGAAAAGTACCTCTTTCTCTACCTGCTCTATCCCATGCATAATCTTATAAACCTCAATCATGTCACCCCTCAGTCATCGTTTCTCCAAGCTAAAGAGCCCTAAGCGCTTTAACCTTTCCTCATAGGGAAAGTGTTCCAACCCTTTTATCATTCGAGTTGCCCTTTTCTGCACTTTTTCCAAAGCTATAAGGTGTGGTGACGGCAAAGGGGTACGGCAAAGAATGAGATGGTTAGACAGTGCCATAGATGCAACGAACATGAAATTGAGCAAACTTCAGAGGACGGCGGAAGACAGGAAGGCCTGGCGTGATCTGGTCCATGGGGTTGCAAACAGTCGGACTAGGCTGTGCGACTGAACAACAACAAATGATATTGGCTGATCTGTTTTCAATACCTTTCCTAATAATCCCTAGCATAACATTGGCCTTTTTTATTGCAGTTACACACTGTCTCGACATTTTCAGTGTTATCTATTACAACTCCAAGATCTCTCTCTTGTTCAGTCTCTGCCAGTTCAGACCCCATCAATGTGTATTTATATTTAGGATTTTTGGCTCCAATGTGCATCACCTTGCACTTGGCCACATTTAACCCCATTTGCCATGTTGACGCCCACTTGCCCATCCTTGACAGATCCCTTTGGAGTGTCTCACAATCCTCACTGGTTTTCACCACCCTGAACAACTTCATATCATCTGCAAATTTAGCCATTTCACTGCTTACTCCCCACTCCAAATCATTAATGAACAAGTTAAAAAGTATTGGACCAACTACTGATCCCTGCGGTCCGCAAATTTGGCCACTTCACTGCTTACTCCCAACTGCAAATCATTAATGAACAAGTTAAAAAGCATTGGACCAAGAACTGATCCCTGCGGTACCCCACTGCTTGCAAGATGGTAGCTTTGCTGCATTTGCGATCTGGGTCCAAGTCCAAATGCATCAAAGACTTACATTGTGTAAGAAAGGGATTGTGCAAGGAGCATCTATCAAAGAACTTACCGTTGACCATGCTTGAATCAAGAACAGTTTGAAGAGAGATCAGTTTTTTATTAGGATCTGCCTCCCACACAGATATCACACAGTCACCTAAGCCCTTTTGGAATAAAATATGTATGATCAGAAGCTAACACATTTGTTTCATAACAGATGTCTTTAAAACATCTTTGTTTACATTAAATTCAAGATGATATCCCATGGCTGCAACAACAGGTTCTTAGATGCCAGTCTCTTGCTGTGCTGGGGGGGGGGGAGTTCTGAACAGGGGAAATTTTCCAGCTGTGCTACCAAATAATTTCTATGACAATTCAATTTCTGGTTCTTACTAAAGCTGTAATGGGTCACTTACTCCATTTGAATTCCTCTGCTAATTAATTAATCTTCTGAAACAATGGGCTTGACAATCGGGGAGATTGCAGTCTTTTCTATGGTGGTGCCTCAATTTACGGAATGTCCTCCTTACTTCTGGCTTAGTACTTGATTTATTACCATATGGTGCCAGGTAAAAGCTTTATGCCTTACCCAGGTATTTTGTGGATTATTTTCTAACTGTACTCTCTTGTTTTGATATATTGCCAAACTGTTCCATGTGTTTCTAATTGCTGATTTTAGCCACTGCATTATAGATTTGTTACCTCAGTTTAATGGCATAAGAACATAAGAGCATAAGAACATAAGAGAAGCCAATGCTGGATCAGGCCAATGGTCCATCCAGTCCAACATTCTGTCATACAGTGGCCAAAAATACCAGGTGCCCTCAGGAGGTCCAACAAGACACTAGAAGCCCTCCCACTGTATGTGATGTTTCAGTTTTGTGAGCAAACTTGAGCATATTTATGGAGTGGTAAATGGTTTGAGGGCCAAAGGCACTTGTAAACGAGATACAACACACACATAAGTCACTGCACATGATCTTATTGTTAGCTACCATTCATGTACTGGGAAACTATGACTGAGCCTGCCTTGGCGGGGAGAGCAGGGTATAAATTGAATAAATAAATAAATGACTGAGCTTCCGAGTGCAGATATGCTAATGTCAGAACTAGGTATTATGACAGTCATGGGACTCTGCCACCAAAAAAAAAACATCTGCACAAGCTGAGGACTATAAAGTTGAGGGGCAGCCACTGTTCACAATTTTATTGTTGCAGCTACAGCGGGACAGAGAAGGGACTGTGGCTCAGTGGCAGAGCATCTGCTTGGCATGCAGAAGGTCCCGGGTTCAGTCCCCGGCATCTCCAGTTAAAAGGAGCAGGCAGGAGGGGATGTGAAAGACCTCCGCCTGAGACCCTGGAGAGCTGTAAAGAGGGGCTGTGGCTCGGTGGCAGAGCCTCTGCTTGGCATGCAGAAGGTCCCGGGTTCAGTCCCCGGCATCTCCAGTTAAAAGGAGCAGGCAGGAGGGGATGTGAAAGACCTCCGCCTGAGACCCTGGAGAGCTGTAAAGAGGGGCTGTGGCTCGGTGGCAGAGCCTCTGCTTGGCATGCAGAAGGTCCCGGGTTCAGTCCCCGGCATCTCCAGTTAAAAGGAGCAGGCAGGAGGGGATGTGAAAGACCTCCGCCTGAGACCCTGGAGAGCTGTAAAGAGGGGCTGTGGCTCGGTGGCAGAGCCTCTGCTTGGCATGCAGAAGGTCCCGGGTTCAGTCCCCGGCATCTCCAGTTAAAAGGAGCAGGCAGGAGGGGATGTGAAAGACCTCCGCCTGAGACCCTGGAGAGCTGTAAAGAGGGGCTGTGGCTCGGTGGCAGAGCCTCTGCTTGGCATGCAGAAGGTCCCGGGTTCAGTCCCCGGCATCTCCAGTTAAAAGGACCAGGCAGTAGGGGATGTGAAAGACCTCTGTCTGACACCTTGGAGAGTCGCTGCCAGTCTGGGTAGATAATATTGACTTTGATGGACCAGTGGTCTGGTTCAGTATAAGGCAGTTTCATGTGATTTCATGCGAGGAAAAGAGGAAGAGGGAGAAATACAGGGCTATTTCTGATGGCAGCCTCCATCTAACATAACATCTAGTTCCAGCAGACAAGAGATGATGTGCAGATCTTCACATATGGACATTCAGCAGGCAGCAAGTTGGAATTTTTGGCACTGGAGTGGGATGCAGTGTAGGCATGGAAGCCAAGTAACATGCATACATCTAAAAATCTCACGGGCACTCAATGAAATTGCTGAGCAGTTGGGTTAGAACAGATAAAAGGAAGTCCTTCTTCACCCAAAGAGCGATTAACACATGGAACTCACTGCCACAGGGGGTGGCGGCGGCTACAAGCATGGATGGCTTCAAAAGGGAATTGGATAAACATATGGAGCAGAGGTCCATCAGTGGCTCTTAGTCACAAGGTATAGATAGGAACTCTCAGTCTGGGGCAAGAGATGCTCAGTATTCTTGGTGCTTGGGGGGGGGGGGGCAACGGTGGGGGGGCTTCTAGTGTCCTGGCCCCACGGGTGGACCTTCTCCTGGCATTTTTGGACACTGTGTGACAGAGTGTTGGACTAGATGGGCCATTGGCCTGATTCAACATTGGCTTCTCCTATGTTCTTATGACAGTCTGGTCGCTGTAGATAGAACAGTTACAGTTATTAGCATTTAAACAGTAATATAACAGTAATAATAATAATAATAAATAAGAATTTATAAATTGCAAAACAGCTACTTACCCCTATCACCAAAGTAATTTTGCTTGCTGTGCGTCTAATCACAGAAGTAAGACAGCCAGCAGTATGATACTCTTCCAGAGAAATGAAACATGTTTCCACCTGCTCTTGTAGCTGGGAAAAAGGCAAATAATCATTTGTAGATTTTTTTTTTGGACCAATACACAATTTCTTAAGACCTTGTTAAAAATTAATTTGCAGGGTACTTCATGGGGGAAATTATAAAAGACAACAATTCAACAAAGCAGCCTGATGCATGCCAACACTGATTTATCAATACTTGCTACAGAAAGAAGAAAAAAAACATGTTCTCATAGACCAATGGGAAATGTGTAGGTGTACAAATATTTACCAGAAGCCACCTTTTTTGGGGGGGGGGGACGACCATTTGTGGACTTATGCCATAGTGTTTACTGAAAGATTTTAACCAGCTCCAGATGTAGTTACAATCTGCTTCCTTTTAATAGCGCAGTCCTACTACCACCCTTTCTACATGCCCCAGTGCACACAATATACTTTACAGATGGTCCTACAGAAGAAAAAAATAGATGGACCGGTATATGTACCTATAACAAAGACTATTTTCTCCAGCATTTTACTTACTCTCCTACACAATTCTCAAGCCCACCTGTAAGTTGTAGCCTCTGGCTTGGAAGCCCTTCCTCTCTACCACAGTTACACTGATTGGGCAGCAAGGAGAAGGGTCATAGCCACTCTTCCTGATTATTAGTTCTTCTCTTTTAGGGTCAAGTCCTAGTTCAGTGTAAGCCCGGCTTCCAAGGAAGCTGAAAAAGTGAGATAACAAGGGCCTCCATTGTTCTGCTTGGAAGGAACCAGCTAGCATTTAGCTTCATGTCCTCTAGAACCATTTCCTGCAGCATTGTTCTATCTGGCCATTATGGAATGGTTCTCTAAGAGTTAGTAACCTGAACATGTCTGCTTTCCATCCATCTTTCCTTCTGAGTGTCATATGGTAGTTTTACTCCGAACTAAAGATCACCAACAACCAATGGCAGAGAAGCAGTATACAATGTTATCAAATAAATAAGATGGCGCAAGAAGCAAGACTGCAACTGAACGGTGCACTGGGGGAGGGAATTTCCTTGCTTGCTCTGCCTGCTCTCTCTCTCTCTCTCTTTTTCTTTTCCGCCTGAGAAATCCGGGAAAGAGAGAGCTGGACAAATGTTGCCTCCGGTCTAGAAGAAAGGTTTTACTCCCACTTTACACTTGAAGGAAGGCAGATGGGAAGGGTTACCTAGAGTAGATTATAGCAGGGAAAAAGACACTCCGTTCGTGTTCCCAGTTTCAGAGAACTGTACAACCTGGTCATTAGCGCTTAAAATAACTAGTGGCAACCATATCCCTAACTGGGCCGAAACGTCTGTAGGAGTAGCCTGGGTCACAAACAAAGGATCTGAAAACCAGTATGTCAGAGATTAGCGTAGTAAATGTTCCTGATACCTTTTTTGCTGTACTGAAGTCCTGGATATCAATTGCTGTATGAGAACAGAAAAGGAATAGTTTGTGAAAAGCAGTTTTGCATTGCACAGCTGTAATTACAGCATCAAGACAGCTTGAGAAAACATAATGCTTTATTATTAAAGTATTTTATTTATTTTTATTTTTTATTATTTATTTATTTTTATTATTTATTATTTATTTTAATATTATTTATTATTTATTTTAGTATTATTTATTTTTATTATTTATTAAAAAACCCTTTGGAAACATATTTAAAGGAAAATTTTCACTGGAGTTATTTTGTTATTTAATTTATTTACTAGAAATAAGGCCCGTTGTGGAAATAAATACAACGGGATCTAGAAAGAGGCTCTGGGAGAGTGCTCTGGCTTTGAGCAAACAGTGTCAGTCTGCTTTTAAAACATGAATCTGGGACCTGCACACCACCGGAATACAGCAGATTCCATATGCAACTGACATTCCAACTGTCTTGCGGGGGGGGGGAGTTTGAGGTGTGGAATGGAGTGAAGTCCAATCAGCTTCCATATGCAAAAGACCAGGTTGTCGCAGCAGTTGTGGTGTGGGCAGGACCCGGGCTTTGCCTTCTGATTGGTGGTGATATATGCTGAGGAGCAGTGCCATCAGCCATACACTAAGGGAGTGCATTTTAGAATTAGAACTTTGGCACCCACTATTCAATTATATATAAGGAGAGAGGAGAGATTTGGCATATATCCCGCCCTACTCCAGAAGTGGGCTCAGGGTGGTCACAGCATATAAAACATGGTAATTATTAAAACATATAATCTAAAACCAGATTGCTATGCTATTTCAAGCCCAGGCTAGCCTCAGATCTCAGAAGCGAAGCAGAGTCAACCCTGGCTAATTAATTAAATCATCGTATGGCAGTGTGTATAGTATAGCCAGGAGATCCTAAGATTGTCTGGCAGCCAGAAATTCTAGCACTTTTTAGCGTTATGCACCACTAGGTGGCAAGCGAGACTTGTTTTTAAGGCAAGAGACATTTCAGAGGTGGTTTGCCATTACCTACCTCTGCGTCACGACCCTGGTATTCCTTGGAGGTTACCTATTCAAATACTAGCCATGGCTGACCCTGCTTAGCTTCCAAGATCTGACAGGACAGGACGAGGCTAACCTGGGCTATCCAGGTCAGGGCATCCTCGCTAGTATTTGGATGGGAGACCTCTAAGGAATACCAGGGTCATGGTGCGAAGGCAGGCAATGTAAGTAAGCCGTGACTTGATGGCATACACATTTCAACATACTTGCAGCAGTCAAATTGGCAATATACTTAATTTTCCAAAAGCCGCCTTATTGGGGCTCTAATAGAAAAAGAGTATGGGCAAATATGGTAAATGTGAAATAAAAATTAAAGCAAATGCAGCCGCATATCATTTAATTAGAACAGCAAAGGGCCAGAATCGAATAAATCAAGCCCCACAACCCAGAATTATAGCATGCTATAAGCAGACCTGTTAAGATTCAAGATGACTATACAGTTTTCCTACCTTTCTGAGTTTTACCAAAAGGGAGGTGCATAATACAGAAGACCCCATTCCTGGTGAGAATAAATGCATGATAGGTATCTACAAAAGAATGAAACACGAGGCAAATTTCAGGAAAGCTTCGTAACAGCACTGTGCATATAAAGCGCTGATCAGACTGAGCTTTATCAAGTATAAGCAAGATAATTAAAAAAAAATCCTAACTTAGCTCAGTGTTGTCTTTGCCCACACAGGGTGCAACGCAATTAAGATTCACAGAATGAAAAACAAGAAAGCAAAAAGACATATAGTTTCACCACCACTGCACAAAATTTCAAGATATTAAGTCTTCTAATGAGGACAACCTTAGCTTGCAAGAATTTTTTTAATGTACATATATTGATTTATTCTTAAGGAAACTTACCTTTATCAGTGCTATCTTTTTCTAGATGGAGACTCAGGTAAGTTCTGTCATTTGAAGACGTCTGAACCAGCATCTAACATACAAGTTCAAAGAGACGCTTAATGCCATTTCTGAAAACAATGCAATTTCTATCAAACATCTCACATTAACTTAAGCCTACCCGAAGCATGGCTTTATTGAAAGTTATATTCGCACCTATAGTAGCATAGGAATTTCTCAATAATGAACGCCTTAACATTTGATCTTTACCCACATGCCCATACTTAAAAGACTATGGCAGAACACATGCTTTTCATACACTAGACCCAGGTTCAGCATTTGTTTCTTTGGATACATACTCCACCCCACTTTTTCCCCCAGTGTGGATGCAAAGTAGCTCATGGCATAATTCTCTCCTCTATTTTATTCTTCTGCAACACTGTGAGGTAGTCTCAGTCACAGAGACTGGGTCAAAGTCACGCAGCCAACTTCCATGGCAGAGCAGGGATACAGACTTGTGTCTCTTTGGTCTCTCAGATTTAAGCGCAACACTCTTCACTGCCTCTTTTCAGTAAGACAGACTCCAGGTAACAGAGCTAAACCAGACTCTCAGGTCTGAGCCACTGATTCAGCTGGCCTGACAGCACTGCGGTGTTGTGATGGAACTTGGGCCAAGGCAGCTCTTTCGGGAACTTACAAGAACTTAAGAGGTACAGAAACCAGCAAGAAATGAATCTAACGTACACGAGTTAACAAGGATTGCCTCAATGGCACGTGAATAAGATGCAAGTTGCCGCTTCGCTCACCAACGACCAGAAAATGCCCTTCTTGGCACAAGCCAATGATATCAACTTCAGTCTCTGAAAGATTAAAAAAAACAGCATTCAGTGATGCCATAAAGCCTTATTATGCAATTAAAGTTAACACACTACATCTCTACCAGCATATCAATCAACAGCCCAGTTTGGTTTCAGCCAGGGCATTCTTGACTATTTAATGTACCGATAGGCAGAAAGGCTGTACATGCTCATATTTAGCAAAGCAGCCACCCCGTCAAGAGAAGATGAAACTTGCAACACACCGATGTAAAGGAAACAGGTAGCTAGCACTGCTTTGAGCCAGTGAACAGCACAGATCTGTAGCAAACATGGTTTGCTACGTTATCTACAATACACTAGCACTTGACAAAGGTCAAGAGGCGGAAATAGCCAATCATTGTGGGCTTAGGCACACCAGGCTGAACTCCAGTATGAAAGAGTTTAGGGAGGGCCCAGGGGGAAGAAAGAGGCAGAATTTCCCAGGAACTCCACAAACGCAGCACATGAAGTAACCTGGGAGAGACTGCGGTATATTGCACATCCATCTGTGTCTTAACAGAAAACCCCCGAAGATCAGTCTTTTCATAGTTTCTTCCCTTCAGAAATCCGTACACTCACCAAACTGACTCAACATCCGAGGAGAGTGGCACGTATCAAGCACCACCACTGACTTGTCCGCTACCAAGGTGAAGCCGTCGCTCAGATTAGAGGCCTGTAACGTTGGGTCAGACAAAACCTGAGAAACACAAAAGAGGAAATTGAAGACATCAATTCTGGCTTGGCAATCAGACCGTTGCTGGCAAGCCTAGCCATGACATCTGCCCCTCCCCCAGATACCTAATCTCTCAAGCAAAAGGAAGGAGCTGAAAAGCAGCACCCGTGGCATTGAAACTGAGCAACAGGACATTTTGGGCTGTAAGGTCGGGGGGGGGGGGTTCTTGTCCCGCTGCCACCTCCCACACCCTTCTCAAAGCAGTCATCGGCTACAGGTATTTGTGGGTCAGAGCGCTACAGCCCAGCACAAAAAAAATCCACAGCATCTTAATTTGCCTTCAAATGCAGTCCCATTAACAGGGTTATACCTAGAGTTGCCAATTCTGGGTTGGGAAACACCTGGAGATTTGAGGGAGGGTCTTGGGGATGGCAGGGGCCTCAGCAAGGCATAAGGCCATACAGCTCACCCTCCAAAGGAGTCATTTTCTCCAGGGGAACAGATCTCTGTTGCCTGGAGATCTCCAGACCCCATTTGGAGGTGGGTAACCCTATTAAACTCCAGTACTTTCATATAGCATCACTGAAAACAAAGACCAACCTTTGACAAATGAATCATGGCCTAAGCTTTCATGAGCCACAGCCCACTTTGACACTGGCCAACCAAAGTTTCTGACACCATGAGTTAACCTTTAAGATGCTGCAAGACTGCTGTTTTAGCTACAGCGAACTGTCGTGATAGCTTTACGCAACTCTGTACAAGAGTGCAGTCTTCACTCATGGACCAAGATCACAAATAGAAAATCCCACCTTTTCTGAGGAAGAGATCTGAACCAATGTGTTCACTTGATAGAAGGAGCTCCCATATTCTTGAGCTCCTACATTCAATGTTTCTGTGGCATCGCTACCAAGGAACTCTACGTCATCCCACATCTTCTCCAGAAATGTGTATGTTACGCTGGAGAGAGAGAGGAAAAGCAGAAAATAAACAAGGCAAGACAACAAGTGCACTTGAGCCTTCATACTGCAGCAAAACAATGCGCTTTATGTATCTTTTAACTATATACATTGCAGGTCACCTTGAATTCCTAAAAGGTAGAAAGGCAGCAAACAAGCAGAAGAAGAGGAGATTGGATTTATACCTTCACTCGGAGTTGCAGAGCGGCTGACAATCTCCTCTCCCTTCCCCTCCCCACAACAGACACCCTGTGAGGTAGGTAGGGCTGAGAGAGCTGGGACAGAAACTGCTCTTTCTCAAGAACACCTCTGACAGAACTGTGGTTTGCCCAAGGTCATCCAGCAGCTGCAAGTGGAGGAGTGGGGAATCAAACCCAGTTCTCCCAGATTAGAATCCGCGCACTTCACCACTACACCAAACTAGCAGCCATTCCACATTAAGGTTGCCACCTGTCAAGATAGCACAATAGCACTCTCGTGAGTAAGCAGGGATTTTTTGTGCACATATAGACTAATAGGGTTTAAAACCAAAGTTTTTATTTTTTAAAAAAGGAATTCAAAAGGATTTAATATAAAAACAAACAACAAATCCCTTCGGAGAGTACAGAAGAAAACCACAAAGGTATCCTGAACTACGTGACATCTCAGTCTAGCTTTTGGAAGGCACAACCATAAATCACAGCAACACGGCGGCATTGCATAAGAGTCTCTGCAACATAGGAGCACAACAACCAGCCGTAAACTCGAGCACTTCCTCAGACTACCTTTGCCCAAACTGGAACACACGGATATGCCTTTCTCCCTCTAAGTAGCAGGTGCAACGCTTTCCCCCCAGACTCAGTTCTTCAACCAAGTTAATTGGCCCCCCTGCCTGGCCTTGAAAATTACCAAAACAAGCCAGTTAGGTGATTTATTTATTTTTATTTATTTATTAAGATTTATACCCCGCCCTCCCCACGGAGCAATCCCTGATGAACCAATTGCACCTGGAATAGGCTAATAAGTTGTTGAACAAGTTAACCCTTTATGAACCCTTTTGCTTCACACCACATGAGTGGCAAAACTTTTGCAAACAGATATTTAGCAAGCAATTCCCCTCTCCCCCCCCCCGCGAAAAAAGGGGAGATGCAATTAATAAGTTTCCTTGGAACCTAGCAGCCAGGCCAAACTTTGAGGGCCCGGATTCATCCTTAAAAAATACAGTATAACAAATTTTGAATCCCATGGCACCTTGACGACCAACAAAGTTTTGTCCTGGGTAGAGATGTGAAGGCCTAGAGAAAACACGGAAAAAATCGTAACAAAACCAGTTTTTTCCTGAAGCCTTTTTTGGTTTCCCCCCCGAAAAACTGGAAAAATTGAAAAAAGGAAAGAAAAACAATTGATTATGGAACGTTTTATTTTAACATGATGACTAAAATATTTTAAGACAAAGTGTTCAAATATTATCTAAATAATTTCAAAAAGATATGCATGGTATCAGATCAATCTAATTTCTGTGCACTGAGGACAAGCAAGTCCTAGGTTACAAACTGAACTCTCCAATGGATAATGACAGACACCAACAGAGTACCTGCAGAAGCAGAGACTGGAACTGACACTGAACTGACACTGATCAGTACAGCTCAGAAAATGATCCTGATGAAATATCATGCCCATTCATTGGAACTTAGTCCCACACTCCCTTCTATACACTTCCCCCCTCTTCAATTCTTTTTATGAGGATGGTCCTACTGCTTCAGGCCAAGACGGCTGCCCTACCCGGATACAGTGTTTTCAGCGCCGTGTGAGTCGGGTCGCCAGGTTTGGGCTGGAAAATACCTGGAGACTTTGGGGGTGGAGCCAGGAAAGGGCGGGGTTTGGGGAGGGGCGGGGCCTCAGCATGGTCCAGCGCCAGAGAGTCCACCCTCCAAAGCAGCCATTTTCTCCAGGGGAGCCGATCTCTGCCAGCTGGGGAATCAGTGGTGAAAGCGGGAGATCCCCAGGCCCCACCTGGAGGCTGGCAACCCTACGCCGCGTGAGCCTCCTCCTCCTCCTCCTCCTCAAGCAGGTCCCCCTGGAAAAACGGGCTTCTACAATTCCGGCCATCTGCTCCTTCTGGCCAACAGCGACGGGAGCCTCCCCGGCCGAATCCCCCACTTGCCAAAAGCGTCGGGACACTTTACCCCGCTCTCTCTCCCCTCAGCAGCAGCAGAACCAGCTGGAAAATCGCGACCTTTTTCTCCTCAGGAAAACCCCGCCGCTGCAGCAGCAGCTTCCCTCAGCCGGCCGCCGGGATCCCTTCCCGCCTTGGCTCAAACCGGAGGGCGGGGCCTCCCGTCGCCCCGCCCCCCGCGACATCCGGGGATCCTGACGAGGGGGCGGGGCCGCTCGGTCGCCTCAGTCGGTCGAGGCTCGGCGGGCGTTGAGAGGCTCGAGCGGGGCGTGAGGCGGCGGAGGCAGCAGCGGAGGCGGGCCCGGTCTCCACAACGCCGAGCACCGCGGCATGGCGGTGAGCGAGGGGGGCGCGGGCCTCGGCCGGGGACTGGGGGAGGCCGAGAGAGGAGAACGTTCTTCCCTGGCGCGGTCTGAGGGCGAGCCGGGCGGAGGAAGACAAGATGGCGCCCGTCTCCTCCGCCCCTTCCCTTCTCCTCCCCTCCGCGCGGCCGCCATGATGGGCCTGAAAAAAATGCGAAGCGCCTCTCGGTTGGGCTGCGGCTTAACTTGCGGGCGGGGGGGCGGGGAGGAGAGAGAGGCCCGAGCGCGGGGCAGCAGATCGAGGTGGGCAGCCGCGTTGGGCTGGCGGGGAGCAGAGAAGAGCCAGAGACCTCAGTGGCCCCTGAAAGACTGGCAGCACTTTGTGGCAGGGGAGAACATAAGAACATAAGAGAAGCCAGTGTTGGATCAGGCCAGTGGCCCATCCAGTCCAACACTCTGTGTCACACAGGGGCCAAAAATACCAGGGGCCCTCAGGAGGTCCACCAGTGGGGCCAGGACACTAGAAGCCCTCCCACTGTTGCCCCCCCACAAGCACCAAGCATACAAAGCATCACTTGCCCCAGAGCCCCTATCTATACCTTGTGGCTAATAGCCACCGATGGACCTCTGCTCCTTATGCTTATCTGATTCCCTTTTGAAGCCGTCCATGCTTGTAGCACCCACCACTTCCTGTGGCAGTGAATTCCAAGTGTTAATCACTCTTTGGGTGAAGAAGCTTTGGTGAGTCGCTGCTCCGGGTACAGCTAGAGTGTGAGTCCCTCGGCCCTTCCGTTCACAAGGCTGGTGGATTTCCACTCTTATGTGGGTAAATAGTGTGCCTTCCATTTATTATTTATTTATTTTATTTCATTTATACCCCGCACGCGGGCTCATGCACCACGGCTTACAACCACAAGGTGAAATACAACAACACAGTTAAAGACAATTAAGGCACACAGTGCAATAAAATACAGTTAAAACACTTTAAACCCAGTGGGCAACTCCATGGAGATCGATCAAGAGTCTGTCTTCTGCTACTGACAGTAGCAGCAGAAAAGAGCCAGAGTCCAGTGGCCCCTGAAAGACTGGCAGCATTTTGTGGCAGGGGAGGAGCTTTGGTGAGTCGCTGCTCCGGGTACAGCTAGAGTGTGAGTCCCTCGGTCCTTACATCACAAAGTTGATGGATTTCCACTCTATGTGGGTAAATACTGTGCCTTCCATGGAGATAGATCAAGAGTCTGTCTTCTACTGACAGATTAATGTTTATCTGTCAGTAGCGGCAGAAAAGAGGGCCAGTGGGACCTTAAAGACTGGCAACATTTGTGGCAGGGGAGGAGCTTTCGTGAGTCAATGCTAGGATGTGAGTACAGCTAGGATGTGAGTCCCTCGGTCCTTATATCACAAGGGTGGTGGATTTCCACTGTATATGGGTAGGGTGCTTTCCATGGAGATAGGTCAAGAGGGGCAGCCGTGCTAGTCTGTAGCAACAGAAAAGAGCCAGAGTTCAGTGGCACCTTAAAGACTGACATCATTTGTGGCAGGGGAGGAGCTTTGGTGAGTCACTCCTCACTTCTTCATCTACAGCTAGAATGTGAGTCCCTTGGTCCTTATATTACAAGGGTGGTGGATTTCCACTCTATATGGGTTAATAGGGTGCCTTCCATGGAGGTAGATCAAGATGGGTAGCTGTTTTAATCTGTCAGTAGCAGCAGAAATGAGCAAGAGTCCAGTAGCACCTTAAAGACTTAACATTTGTGGCAGGGGAGGAGCTTTCGTGAGTCTCTGCTCACCTCTTCAGGTACAGCTAGAAGGTGAGTCCATCGGTCCTTATATCACAAGGGTGATGGATTTCCACTCTATATGGGTAAATAGGGTGCCGTATCAGTCTGTCTGTAGCAGCAGAAAAGAGCAAGAGTTCAGGAGCACCTTCAAGACTAACAACATTTGTGGCAGGGGATGAACTTCCGTGAGTCAATGCTCACTTTCCAGACTCTTGCTCTTTTGAGCAAGCAATGACATTATGCTTTTTTCCCTGGCCCCATGTTCCTTTCCTCCCAGTTTAGATTAATTTCACTCCATGTATATATTTCCTAATATGATTGGTTTTATGTAATGCTTCCGTTGCGCTTTTGAGTTGCGCTTCTCCATGCGTCTTCTAACAGTTACAACAGGCCTGTGGGGTAGGGCAGTAGGAGAGGGGGGAGCCTGAGGCTTAGGCAGCATTGATCCTTGGGAGTTCATGGCAGAAGCCAGATATATTCAAATCCCCTTTTACAGAAGGTTGATTTGTATTTAATAAATACCTCACGGCTGTATGTACTGTGTGGGACTTTTATAGTTGTGGGAATTTTTAGACTTCACGTCCCTGTGAAATAGTGGCCTCCTTGGCAAAGGGAACATTGGATCTTGAAAGCTTATAACCCAAAAATCTTCTCTGTAATGTGCTACTGGACTCGAATCTGTACTACTGGACTGAGCTCTTCTGTTGCAGACCAATGCAGCTGCCCTCTGAAACATTTAAGCAAAATATTGAAAATATGTCTCACATGCCTACATAGGCATTATCTAATGTCATAGAAAGTGTTTTTAAGTAAAACTTCGTCTTAAGGAGCATTTTGCTCATTCCAAAGTGGGGAAAATATTTCATAGGAATTTTTTTTCAGTACTCCCAGATTTTCTTTTGGAAAATTGAAAAATCCTCCCTCAAAAAAGAAAAGGAAATGGGGACCTCTCCCCCAGTGTTTTTGTTTATTTCACATACCATCACCTTTTAGTTGGAATTGAAGTGACATTCTTTGAGGATCTCACAGTGTAATGTAATATAACAGTTTTTAAAGGCAGCCCCATAGAGTATCCTGTCTAGTAAATAAAAGCTGATATTATATATTAAAAGAGAAGATGTACAAAAATTTGCCAAAAAACACCACCCTTAGTTACTGAATGTCCAAGTTATGTGTTATTAAACTAGAGGACAACCCCATTGTGCTAATCAAGAGGCTTATTTGGTAAATTGAAAGCTCTTCATGTTTTCAGTGTCTAGGTGTTGAAATTCTGGAAGTAATATAAAATGATACTGTGTCAGATTTGGCAAGAATTTTGCCTTCGTTTCTCTTTCCGTGGTCTGGACAAAAAACTTGAGAAGCCACTGATTAAACTGCCTAAAAGATTACCTAAAGACATGAAAATGGTGTATGATCTGGCTGCATAGACATGGAAGAAATCTAGTTCTTGAAGAATTCAGTTAGAATAGGTTCATAGCAGGGGGGGGCTGTCACAGGAGGATGGGGATCCCCTTCATTAACTGGTACTCTGAAGTATGTTTAAAAATAGGCTTCCACTTGGAAAATGCATGGTGTAATTGAGTTGTAGACTAATTATCTAAAACATGACTGTGACAAGAATCATTGTATTGCCTTTGGTAATAAAAATACATCAGAATTTCTGCATTTAACCCATCAGTTGTGGGACTGGAGGGAGCCTGTAGAAAGTGTAATTGGCCAGAGAATGATCAGTCTGATAAAGTTTTTGTTTTAGTCAAAGGTGTACATTTTTCTGAGGTAGGGAAAAGTTGCCATTTAGTAAAAGAACTTGCTGCCTCTTCCATGTTTCCTGAATTAGGTTAGATTTCAAAGATGTCACTTAGAAAGAATTTCACCTTTGGAATCTAATGGAAGTGCATTAGATGCAAAGAATCTATCTCATTTGTCCGGGGCTAGGATGAGCATGCAAGGCTGATAGTTCTGATGTCACAGCATTCGAAATTGCCATAGACAAATATTTGTTAATATGATTTGTTGCTGGAATACATAGTTTGAGCATACCCTTGTATGTACTAGTTTTTGGACATTGTTAGTTTTCAGAAAATCTAGTCATGCAGTGCTTCAGATGATTATATTGTCAACCACTAGAATGCAGGAAAGAACAAAGGTACAAGAACCTACTAGGGTGAGAAATCAAAACAAAGTGCAAGTCTGTCATTTTCATAAGACAAATACAAATCTTGTGATGGGTGGCTAGCCAACACTGGGTGGAGCTTTGCCCATTATGATTTTCTCAGCCACGGGAATTTCCACAGACTCAGGGGTTTTTTGGACAAGGCATGCCACACGACATAAAATTACGGGCAGTGTTCATAATATTGGTATTTGTCTTGTTATAATTATGAACTTGCACTGTGTTTTGATTTCTCACTCCCTCTAGTTCTTGTACCTTTGTTCTTTTTTAAGTCTTGGGGGCTGTCTCTTGTGTATCTAATCAGTAACTAGAATGCAGCAGCTCTCAATAAATTTGATTTCATAGGTACTATTAACATTAAAGACAGTTGCTTAATACTTTAAAATTTCAAATGCTTGTTAAATAGCCAGATAAAATGTAAGATTTTGATTCCATTTTGAAATAGGCTAGTGATACAGAGCGAGAGGCAGCAGTCCAAGAAAAGTCATCTCCTGACAGAGAGAAGAAAAAAGAACGGTCAGATGCATCTAGTTCTCCTAGAACTTCAAAACATCATCACTCAAGGTCACGTTCACAATCAAGAGAGAGAAAACGGAAATCAGGTATGGAAGCCTCCAAAGTTACAAAAGTCAGTTGGTTGATAATTTTTTGGTCCACTTGGTGATATTTGTACTAAGCGAGTTTATTTATATAGCACAATCCTCTGCAGAGTTAACTCCAGCCTAGGTCCATTGATTTCACTGGAGTAACTGTAAATTCCATTGAAATTAAGACTTCCAAGTAAATGTGCTTACTTTAAAAAAAAAAAAAAAAAGATCTGGAACTAATTCGTAAGTAATGTTGAGTCCTGCCTTGTTTTATTTTGTTGTTGTATTGTTATATTTAAAAACTTCTAAATATCTTAAAAATCTTTCTTAGACAATATTCTTCTATCAAATACTAGAAATCATAGAACTCGTTAGATTTCAACTCTGAAGCCTTTTTAAAAATATCAAGCTTCTCCACATTTTAGACTTCACCATACTAATGTGATGTGTGTGTGTTGGGTAAAAAAAGTTAATGTTGTAGAGGATGAAAACATAATTCAGTCCAAATTTTATTAGCTTAAGGCTGCTTAAATTCTGAGCCCTTTTTAATTGGGTGAGTCTGGATATGTTTGAATATATATTGTTTTTTAAAAGAATATAAAGTTTCCAGGCTGTTTTATGGTTAATAAATGTTTATTTTCTTAGATAATGATGGGAAAAAACACAGAAGCCGGAGCAGAAGCAAAGAGGTAATTAATACTTTGTAGTGCTTAGGTAATTGTACCAAACATATTTATATGTATGTCATAGCATGTGTAAACTTGTATGTAATTGACTTAATGGTAAGTACGAAAAAACCTTGTAAATTCAAAGAAAATATGTTTGGAGTGAGAAGCATGACTGAAACCATCAATTTGCCAAAAAAGGTAGTAGTTGACAAAAGTTCACACAAATTAACTGTTGAAACAACCTACAATGATTTTTTTTGTGGAGAATAGAATTGGTTTGTTTGGTTCTCACAGAGCTTCCATTGATCACAGTTCTTGTACCTTCTGTTACATGATCTCAGACTCCTTTTGCTCTTCTTACCTCAGGCTGTTTGACCCCAATCCCTACTTAGATCTGCACCATGGTCCTGTAATAGTAGGGAAGACCATAGGGTTCATAGGACTGAATATCACCTTAAAGCAAAACCAAGGGGAATGAGATGCAGCAGTAGTGCCAACTTTGTTTGGTGAGGCGACAGTTGCAATAATGTTGCTAGGTAAGTCAGTTACCAACAGAGGAGAGGTTATACCACGAACAGTCATCTGTGTTAGAAAGTGAGGTTTTACTGAGCTAGTATTAAACTAGAAAAATGAAAAACCTAATGGGGGTGCCATGGCCTTCTTTCCCCTTCTCAATGGAAGCTCTGTAAAAAAAAAACAAAAGAACTAGGAGAGTATTTGTGAAATTGACTATATTGTTTAGATCACATGATAACATTTCTATAATAAATCATACTCAGCGTGCTAATGCGCGAAGAGACTGAACTGAAGACGCTCCAGACTCAGATAGCAAAATTATAAGCCTACTTCATGATAAGGTAACTATTAGTCATTCAAACTCATATTTCCCTTTAAACAAAGAAATTGGTTATGGGATATAATGGTGGTTTTTAAATACAAAAGTATATGTTTAGAAGACTGCTCCATCGTGTTTACTCAAATATGGTTAAATGAACTTTTTAAATGATACTTTTAAGACTGGCGCTCTGTGTATAAGTGACATAAAGAACATTTCCCTGATTATTTTAGATCTTTAGTGGGAAGAATTTGTTGAAACTACTCTAGATTTTTGGCCCAATATTTTTAATATAGGCCCCAGGATCTTTATGTCTGTAATGTAATGTTAATAAGGTGTTGAATTAGTCATTGGCTTCTTACGATAGTGATGTTTTTTACAATTATAAAAGAGGCTAAGGGTAGTATACAGTATATCTAGACCTGCCCATAATATCAACATCACAAATCATCTCTAAGGGTGATTAACTCCACGTTGTTAGTCATGTAATAACCACCTCACCTGGCGTGAGGATGTGCATGGGTTTGCGAAGTGTCAGACTCGACTGTGGGACTGAACAACAATAAGCAGAGATATTGCATTTTTATTTCATGATGAGTTCTAAACATCCTTCTTTAATGGCTGTATTAATGATCGGAAAGAAGTAGCCAAAATGGATCTGCTTTTTGAAACTGCTTGAAACAATCTCCTAGCCTGTTTTATACCCTAACACATTTGTATCTTAGAATGGGAAGATGATATACACTTTGTAGATACAACTAATTTCAGCAGCAAGTTGGTGGATTGTGAATATGTATAGTGTTTTTCATTAGGTTTAGTTGGTCCTTAAAGATATGAAAAAATAGTTGAAACAGTCCAGTTTACTCTTTCTACATAGGGTTTTTTATATAGCCAAAACATGCTTAGAATAATGTAGTTGGGTCATATTGGCCACCTTGTTGGTTAAGACTTCAAAGTTGAAGATGCCCGGCAAATACAATCTGTTAGTGACTCTCAAACGATGGCCTGTAGAGCTACCTTCAGGTTATCTTCATTAACGGCTGATGTGTTGACCGCTAACTACTTGTCACATCGCATCTTCTTGTAGTGATTGGGATCAGTACCTTTTTTTCAATCACTGTACTTAGGGTAACCACTCCCTGACTGTTCTGTGTAATTCTGTAAAGCTGGTCTTGGTATGAGAATCTTTAACTATGTTTCATAAAAGGTTTAAAGGGGGAGGACAGTGGAGGGAGGAGGAATGATAATGTGTATGTGCAACATTGGGTAGATGGTGGTGTTAAAGCCATCACAGTTGACTGGGCCTCACTCCTAAGGTTACTAATGTTGCATCACAACATATCATTCTTTATCTACTGATGCCCATACTAACTCTCTTTGTTGCACTATTTTCCTGAAAGAACCAACTTCTTCTTAAAACAGGCAAGAAGACATGGGTCCAAAGAAAAGTCGTCCAAAAAGCACAAATCAGAAGACCATAACGACAAAGAGCATTCTTCTGATAAAGGAAGAGACAGCCTGAATACCTCTGAAAACGGTGAGGACCGGCATAAGCGCAAAGACAGAAAATCCTCAAGAGGACGGAGTCATTCAAGGTCTCGGTCCCGTGAAAGGTAGATTACTTAACACTTTTTGAATAATTTCTATTCTGATTTTTAGAACTGCTGTGTATTCTAAGAAAAGTTTTTTATGCTGCTGACCAAGTGTAAGCAATTTAAATCTGCAGATGTTAAGACTTAAGCGTGAGATTATTACTGACATATTAAATTAAGTATTTTATAGATTAAGTATCCTGAATATTTGCAAAGTTTTTGCAGTGTCACCGAAATGCCAATGTGATATTTTTTGGCCTGATGTGTGTGTAACTTGTTTGGTACCCACAAGCGCTTCATCTACTAATTGTAATTGGGCAACCAGAAATCTTGAACCACCACTTGCCAGATCTAGAGCTCAGGACTTCGATACTGTAATTCTTTTTGATAAATTCTGAGGGTAATGTTGGCTTGTTTTAGAAATACTTGGTATAGAGTTCAGGCTGCTAATTCGACCTTTTGCTGAACACGTGCTGTTTGTTGACGAAAAGCTGAAGAGAGAATTGTCAAACTGGGAAATACTATGAGGAATTTGGAATGTATTTTCAGGCGTCACCGTAGTAGAAGCCGTGATAAAAAAAAGTCACGTTCTCGAAGCAAAGAGAAAAAGCGGCGTCTAAAATCACGTTCTAGGTCAAGATCTAGACACAGGCACAGAAGTCGGAGCAAGAGCCGAACTAGGAGTAGAAGCAGGTAGGTTGGTCTGCTTTTTGTAAAGACGTGAAAACTGCAGTGTGACTAGAGCACTTTTGAAATTGAAAATGTACTCTGGCACTTAGATTAAGGTTAATTTATGTTTATTTAAACCATTATGAAACTTTTAAAAAACGTATGCCTGCAGAGAAAGAAAGAAGAGACCTGAAAAACCCAAAAGATTCAGCAGAAGTCACAGTCCGAGTCCTAGCCCTCCACCCTTTAGGGGACGGAATACAGCAATGGATGCCCAAGAAGCTTTGGCCAGAAGGTAGAGGCTTTTCTTTGTCTGAAGATACGGAAGTTAACTGCTTACAGACTAGTAATAAAGCATCCTAGCCTTCAAGGGATATTTGTCACCATTCGTCTCCCACTAGTTTTATCTCTCTAAAGGTGGAGAGACACCTTTTCAGAAAACATCTAAATCGGGGTGTCAGACATGCGGCCCGGCCCGGGGGCCGGACCAGGCCCCCAGAGGGCTTCTATCAGGCCCGCACTGGACCTGGCCATCTCCTGCTTCCAGTTCTGTTGCTGCTGCTGCATCATCGCTTGCTTCGCCAGACTCTCTCAATCACTCAGCCATTTCATGTTTTCCCCTGGGTCCTAGACTCAGAACTCTGAGCATGAGATTTCTGTGGTGAATAGATCAAAAGTAGATTCACAGCTTACATATACACACCTGATCAGCATACTCAAGATTGCAACAGCACAGACATTTTGATGCAATAATTCAGAGCAAGAGGCATCAATGATCAGATACTGTTAAATAAACAAAATATTGCAAGAGTGCTAATGTTTTAAGCATGTTTTTATTTTAAATTAAAAAAAACCTCTGTGTTTGTGTCCTTTATAAAGTTTGTATCTCCACTACCTGGCATTACATTTTATGACACACGTGGCCCGGCCCAACAAGGTCTCATTTATGTCAGATCCGGCCCTTATAACAAATGAGTTTGACACCCCTGATCTAAATCTTTGATCTTTGATGTTGAGGCTATCAAAATGTAGCTCTAAATATGGATATGATACGGCAAGATGAAGGACCACTGGGATGCATAGGAGAGAGACTGAGCCGTCTGCAGAGCAGCGCTAGAATAAATCTAATACCATGACTAGTTTAGAAGGTCCATATAAATCCCTTTTGCGTCGAGCATGCACTGATACCAGATTGTCAGTCTGTCTTTCTATAGTTCTGAAAGCTAGACATATTGCCATTTTAGGAAATGTGGACTAATGGATATTGCAATTAACCCCCCCCCCCCAAAAAAAACCCCTAAGTTAATGAAATGCATTAGGCTGTTTCAGCCATTAAAAAACCCTTAATGTCTAGATTTTACATTCTGCAAGTAAGCACTTCAAAGATTGCATGTTGTTCACCTTGTGTTCAGGCTGTTCTAACTAATGTGGGGAAAGGTAAGACTTTTAATGACTGGTTGCTTCTGCATTGCTATTTCTAGATTGGAAAGAGCAAAAAAACTTCAAGAACAGAGAGAGAAGGAGCTTGTTGAAAAACAGAAGCAACAGGAAATGGCTGCTGGTAATTCTTTTTGAGCTGTTAGCTGACAGTTTGAAATTAAAATAACTTTAGTCAAATACTATACAAATAGTATACTATACAAATAGTAACTATGAGCTGGAGACTTAAAAATCAAAACAAAAATCTTTATATGTTCCTCATTGCAATTTTGGCACTTTTGAAAGAACCAAAGCAGTAAAGACTTTTCTAAGCTCTGCTTTCAGAACTCTTTCAGTCAGACCCTAAAATAGCTGCACCATCAGACAAATGCTTCAGGATGAGCTAGGTAAAAGCTCTCTCCTGAATGAGTCCTTGCCAACTGCCTAGTTTGTACTCATTCTTGTAAGTATTGAGGATTGTGTTTGTCCTTGCCCCGTATCTGATTGACATGGAAAAATTCTGAATGCTTTCTCTGGTATGAAATGTTTGTTTTAGCGGCAACTGCCACTGGAAGTTCTGTCATCAACGTTGCAGCTCTTCTGGCCTCTGGAACACAAGTCACTCCTCAGATTGCTATGGCGGCTCAAATGGCAGCCCTGCAAGCAAAGGCCTTGGCGGAGACAGGAATAGCCGTTCCAAGCTATTATAACCCAGCAGCAGTGAATCCAATGAAGTTTGCAGAACAGGAAAAGAAGCGGAAAATGCTGTGGCAAGGCAAAAAAGAAGGGGTAATTATTATTTTTTTGGCCTGCTTATTCTCTATTTTGTTTATACGTGTTGATTCTTAAAAGCACCATCTGGTAGTAATGCTTCTGCCGTTGCAAAGGTTAGAAGTTAAGATCCCAGCACCCTGAAATTTGGTATTTAGTGGACACCACTGGCACTGAGAGCTTCTATTTTCATCACAGTTTCGAGGATCTTTTGGTTTGAATGCAGAGCCAATATGTTATGCATTTGATTGGCTGATGTTTAACACAGCCTCATTATAAACCACTTAAGGGTGCTTGATCTATAGTGACTATGGTTTATAAATGCTCTTATTACTTTCCACTGGCCAGAAGACCTGGAGTTCTTTCTTATTGAAGTGGATGAGACAGGTTAACCAGGCTTGCACCCAGGTTGTTTCTGGTTCCAAAAGAAAAATTGGAATAGGTTTGTTAAGATACGTGAGGAGTTGTTTTCCATGTGTGTATCCTGGTATGTCCTAAGCATTGACTCCTCAACAACATTACCTATAAACTCCCAATTGGTGAAAGCCACACATATATGCATAACATGTTATTTTGTGTTTTTATAGGATAAATCACAATCTGCAGAAATCTGGGAGAAACTGAACTTTGGAAATAAGGACCAAAATGTCAAATTTAGAAAACTAATGGGTATCAAGGTACGTGATCTGGTTATGATCATTTGTTACACTGTCGTGAAATGTTTTGAAGCCTCAGTTATTTGCCAGAAACAAGAGGATAATTTTTAATGCCTGTTTCTAGGAGAGCAGGCTTGTTAAATGCATTGCTAAGCTTCCTGCATTAAATACATAAGCTTCCTGCATTGCGGAAGAGTATACGTTAAGGTTGTCTACTGGAGATTGCGTCTTTGAACTTGAAGTGCTGTGGCAAGGCCCTTGGCCAAAGTCTCCTGCAAAAGTATATTGAGAATGAATTCAACTAACATCTTGTGTATCAGCCTCCCCTGGAATGGATAGCATTCCCTGGGTTTACTTATTATGAGCCATTGATTTGTATGGGAGAGAGATCTCTTGAGTGAAAGGTGTGTGTCGAAGGAGCTGATAAAGACCTTTGAGCAGTTCAGATGGCTTTATCCCTTTCTTGGGGGGGTCAAATCCATTAATAATTTTGTTTCTTGAAAATATCTTGTCTTTTATTCTAGAGTGAGGAGGAAGCTGGTAGTAGTTCAGTGGATGAAGAAAGTTATAAGACTTTGAAACAGCAGGAAGAAGTATTCAGAAATCTAGATGCACAATATGAAATGGCAAGGTCACAGACTCACACACAAAGAGGAATGGGATTGGGATTTACATCTTCGATGCGAGGAATGGATGCTGTTTGAATGGACGTGATCTCGAACCCTGGAACTTTGACAAAGATTTTTGTTCCGACATTCGGTCCTTGTTCACCAAAAGCTAGCATTTCTAGCTTGCATGGGTGTTGCATTGACTTTAATTTATTGACATTGCAATTTTTGTAAATATCAGATCAGTGATTACTGGTGTTCCATGTTGTAATCAGGTTATACTCACTTCCATTATACTTGACAGAGCTACAGAAGGACAACATTTTAGTTCTGCTTTTCAAACTAGAACAGGTGAGGAGGGTAAACTCGTACCTGGATATTTTGTGTCTGCTGTCTTGTGTACTTTTGTACTTTAACCTTGTACAGTTATTTTCAACTCTCGAAACATAACGAACATTGTGTAGGTGTTACTTAGCAGACTGGGCCAATGAGTACATAATGCAGTGCAAAAACCTGGTTAATAAAGATGTTTTTTCTCAAATGTTACTGTTACTATTACTGGCTCACTTGAATTGCTTACAGCTCTGAATTTGGTAGAATTGATTTGAGATTTCACACTGCAGTTTACAAAAAATAATAATTCCATCACAAAAGAGCAAATAGTAAAAGTTACTCAGCCTCAGTTTTCATCAATGTTATGCATTGTTTTTATTCCTATTGCAGTGTTTGCAGTGAGCAGCAAGCATATTAGGTGTGTGAAATATGTCCAGTCCCTACTGTCTATAAAACCTGAGTAATACTGCCTCCACTCAGGTCCAAAGATTACCACACTGGGTGATATGGTAGTTCTGTTATTTGGGACTTTTATCAGCAGAGATCTGATTTGGTTTATTTAGAAATGGTTTATGCTGCCTCTCAGTGCCCTGCTTGAGCCAGCATATAAAAACTTGTTTCGGCTTTGACCTGGCTTCAACCTGCCCAAGCAAATTAAGAGACAAGCTCTGTATTACTGTAGCCAGTTCTGAGCCTAGTCTTTCTAGCAGGCGTATCTGATTATAGACTACCTTATGCAAAGTGAGAAAAGCAGATTGTCCCCAGCTATTCCAGTCAGTCTACTGGGATGTTATACACATAAGAAGAGGAGGAGCCCTGCTGGATCAGACCAGTGACCCATTTAGTCCAGCATCCTGTCTTGTACAGTGGCCAGCTAGTTACTCCGGAGGGCCGAGGACAGGGCATTAAGGTCTTCCCCTGATCCAAAACACTGACGGCAGCCCTATTTCTACATTTTAAAAACTAGTATTATGCAGGATTGTACTCACACTGTGTAATGAGTGGAAGTTGCCCAGCATCAGTGCCTCAAAAGTAGTATCTTTTGTAGCTGTAACTTGTGTGTTGAGATACGATTGTATGGGGCATCTCCCTAAGGGTTTCCAAAGCTAGGTGTAAGTTGTCTAAAGGGGTTCTTAGTTGGGAATTTTTAAACATGTTGTATACTATTGAGTACATTAATAAAACCAAGAAAAGCAAAATGTGTGTAAATTACTTCTAGGTACTACGTGTTTAGTGACAGAACTATTAGCTCAATAAGTTTTTTCCCATCCATCCACCTTAGGAATGTTTCCATTGCCAGTAATAGCAAACATTCAGGAACAGATGGACAGCATAGGGAATTTTGCTTTTTAAAAATAGTCTACAGAAGCACATAAAGATGAGTCAAGTTATTTCTCCTTCCTCACCTGTGATGGGAGGCTGAAATTTTAGCAGCTCACCACCACCACTGAAGGACAGTAAAAATTAGTACGGTTAGGTTTGCAGCCCCCTTAGCATCAAATGAATACCTTGATTGGGGGCGGGGGGGGGGGTGTCTTCCACTAAAACTGTGGGGTTTCGTGCGATTTTCACTGAGATGGCTTCTGCAAACATAGCCACTGTTTAATAGAAACCCACTTGAAAAACATAATTGGAATTTAATAAATGTTGCCCTTCTAGAAATATCAGGATGCAGCTTTACCCAATTTTTCTGTTTGTGGTATACTAACCTGTCTTACTGAAGACTTACAGGCAGGTTTATGCAAAAGGGAGTTCTCTTGCTTAAAGGGGATTGTCCACCCAAGTTCTGAAGACTGGTTTATATTTAATGTGTATTTCAGGTTGCTGAGGGGGGAAAGCTGCTGAGACGGTATGGTCATCCTTTTACCTAAAAAGGGTGAGTCACCGTTCACTACTGGCATTATTGGACTCAAACTTTGTTCTTTTGCTTCAGATCAACACGGCCACCCACCTGAAACTTCTTTATTTATGTTTATTACAAGTAGTTAATTCACTATTGAAGCTTTTTCGATACTTAAATTTTTTTGTAAAAAGTAAACCTGGTAATTTTGTTAGGCAGCAGGAAACAAAAATCGGAGCGGGGGGGGGTGTCGTTCCGCCATATATTAAAACTACATATCCCAGCATGCAGCTCGGCTAGTAAGTTTTAAAATATGGCGGAACAAGAGCCTAGCCTCTCTACCCAGGTTGAACTACAAACCCCATCACGGAATGATCCCTTTGGCCTATAAAGGAGTTAGCGCGGTCCCGTCCTGTTGCCTCTTGGGAGTTGTCGTTCCTTCCGAGGCGGCCGTCGGCTCGAAGGGCCCGTCCCCTCTCTTTTTGCCCCGGGGTCGCCGTCATCTTCCCTCGCGGCCTGCCGGTTGCCCGGCGACGCACTTCCTCTACCCGCCCTAAGATGGCGGCTGAGGTGGATTTCGGCGACCGCGAGCTCTTCGAGCAGCTGGACGCCGACGAGCCCGCGGCGACGCCCGGCCCGGCCGCGCAGCCGCTCCACATCCGCTTCGACGAGGAGACCGAGGAGCTGCGCGAGCGGCTGCGGGAGTGCCAGGAGACCGTGAAGGAGCTGCAGGCCGAGAATATCCTGCCGGGCCGGGCCTGCCTGGGCCTACCCGGGGCCGGGCCTCGTTCGCCGGGGGGTGCGGGGTGGGGAGCGGGTGGCGCGCCCCGTGGGGCCCCTCCCGCCGCGCTCTCCCGCCTGCAGTCCCGCTTCTCGGCCTCGGCTGGCCGAGGGAGACGGTGGCGCCTTCCGCACGCCTCCTCCAGCCTTTCCCCGCCCGAGTTCCCTCCCGTCACTCTCCCCCGTTCATTTCGTGACTGACTGGCTCTGTTTCTATCCCCGCCTGTTGAGCCCCGGGGTGTTTGTCTGCTGGGGGTGTGTGAGTGTGTGTGGCCTCACTGAGTGGTGGAAGTGTTTGTGGCACGTGTGTTTTATTCCTGCGGTAAACTAGCAGTTCGAAAGCAAGAAATTGCAAGCAGATAAATAGGTACCACTTCGGTGGAAAGGTAACAGCGTTCCGTGCGCCTTGGCGTCTAGTCATGCCGGCCACATGGCCACGGAAACGTCTTCGGACAGCGCTGGCTCTTCGGCTTGGAAACGGAGATGAGCACCGCGACCCTAGAGTCGGACTCGACTGGCTTTCGAGCAAGGGAACCTTTACCTTTTTTAAACTTGTGGATTTGTGTGGCAGGGGGACTTGCTGGGTCCTTCATAGGCACGCCTCGTCGGATGATTTTTATAGGGGTCTGTATTAGGTCCTGATCCGTGCTCCCTCTGAGATGTGGGGTCCTGTGAGCAGAAATCCTACTTTGTGAGCTCCTGGCATTAAAGTTGTGAGGGAGCGATTTGGCCGCTGCACAGATTAGTTTGCTTTGGAGCCCTCCTTCCTGGGCGAAGACAAAAATGTGTGAGCCGGTGGCTAAAAGACTGAGCTAGCTCACACTGACTCAGCTTAGAGGGAACGCTGCTGAGGAGTCTTGTGAGCAAAACTTCTACTTTGCAAGCTACCGGCATCAAAGTTGTGAGGGAGCGATTTGGCTGGTGCACAAATTAGTTTGCTCTGGAGCCCTCCTTCCTGGGCGAAGACAAAAATGTGAGCCAGAAGCTAAAAGCTGTGAGCTAGCTCACACTAACTCAGCTTAGAGGGAACACTGCTGTGGAGTCTTGTGAGCAAAAATTCTACTTTGTGAGCTACCGGCATCAAAGTTGTGAGGGAGCGATTTGGCTGCTGCACAAATTAGATTGCTCTGGAGCCATCCTTCCTGGGCAAAGACAAAAATGCGTGAGCCAGAGGCTAAAAAACTGAGCTAGCTCACACTGACTCAGCTTAGAGGGAACACTGGTCCTGATATGTCGAAAGACGGACAAAGAGAACAGAGTTTGGGACCACTGTCACCTTTAAGCCCAACAAAGTTTCATTTGGGGTATATACTTTCGTGTGCATGCACAGTTCTTCAGATAAGTGTGCATGCACACATGAACGCTTATACCCAGAATAAAACTTTGTTGGTCTTAAAGGTGCCACTGGACTCAAACTTTCTGTTCCTTCAGACCAACACTGTGACCCACCTGAATCTATCAACAGATATTTTTTTCTAGTGAGAACCCCATATGTTCATCTGAGGAAGGATGTAGTCCTCAGAAATTTGTAATGGAATCAAAATCTTGTTAAGTCTTCAAAGTGACACAGGTTTTTGCTGTGCAGGCAAACAAGACTGTTAAAATGTTTCTCATTGTGAGGGAATTGCTGGCTTTGTTCATTCTAGAAGGAGGTGCAGCATTCATCTCTTGCCGTGGAAACAAGCAAGAACCTGGTGGCACCTTGAAAACTGTTTTTCTTGCCTTACTCCAGCATATATGCTTGTGGACTAGAGCTGCTTCAGAGGATATAACATGCTCTGGTCTGTAGAATGACCTTGGGCAAGCCGTAGTTCTGATAAGAGCTGTTCTTGAAAAAGAGCAGTTTCTGTCAAGAGCTCTCTCAGCCCCACCTACCTCACAGGGTGTCTGTTGTGGGGAGGGGAAGGGAAAGGAGTCTGTAAGACGCTCTGAGACACCTTTGGGTAGTGAAGGGTGGGGTATAAATCCAATCTCTTCTTCTTCTTCTTCTAGCCTACCTGACAGAGTTGTTGCAGTAATAAAGTGGAGAAGGGGGGCCATTTGCACCCCACTGGACTCCTTGAAGGAAGAATGGGATTAAAAAAGACAAATGTATGCTTATGAGCAGTGTTCCCTCTAAGCCGGCTCACACATTTTTGTCTTAGCTCAGGAAGGGTGGCACCATGAGCTCCCTTAGGAAAGCTGTATTCTTCTAGCAGCCTTTCCTGATCAGTAGAATGTGGATAGTAAGGTTGGCCTACTTTACAGGACTGTTGTAAGGATTGTAAGCCAGATAATACGTTCATGAAGCATTCTGAACCCCATCATGGCACACCCACTAGTACAGGGAGAGTCACATTGGTTGAATTTAGATCTCTTCTGTAGCTATTGAATTGAAAGATAAAGAAGATCACACCCAAAAACTACCTAGTAAAGAGGAATCGTGTTCTTCCGACAGCAAGGTTGCAAGCTAACTTTTATTTAAAACTTTATCTGATGCTCACCAAGGTTGTCAGTTGTCTTAGAGTTCTAGAATTGTGTAACCTTAAGAGTTTGAGAAGACACCTATTTCATCTTGCCTTCTTACAGTCCTTCTCTCAAGCACTCTTCCCTCATTTACAAGCATTTAATATTCCTTAATGAGCCGTGGTCATATAAATTAGGTGGCCAGAAGAATGGTGAAAAAAAATATTTTTTACTTTTCTGCTCCTTCAGTGCTATATTTATTTTATGTTTACACCTGAAGCTTTGATTCTAGTTATTGCTGGCTGCGAGTACCAGGCAGTTGCTGGGGTGATTATTTCAAACATTTTTTCCCCTCCAGTAAGAGTGTAACTTTAAATTCCTTAACGAATTGTTAACATCGTGAACTCAGAAGGAAACTGAAAATACTGACACGACCAAGGTATATTTAAATTGCTTGGTTTATCAGAGATATTTTGTATGTTAATAGAGACATGATAGCTAGCATGCAAAGAGCAACTTTGGGCATAGCATGACCTGGGGCAGATCACAAATTTGGATGTGTAGCAATAAAAATCTTTATTTAATTACCTCGTGTGTTTTAAATGGTTACAAAACGAGGAGGCATTCCTCAGAGTTGTTAAATGAAAGCGCTGAACATAGCAGAGCGTGCCTGGCTTCTTAGATCCACCGGCGAAGCCTTTTTTGCGGAACCCATGCTGTCAGAGGGTTTTTTGAGCTCCAGATTATGGAACTTTTTTCTCTAGGATGGTCACCACCTCTACAGGCACCTCTAATTTTAAGAATATTTATTTCTGAAGGCTTTTGAGAAAATCTGAGTATAGCTGCGGTCACACACACAAAATAATCCACTCTCCACTTTCAGTGCACTTTCCAATTGGATTTTACTGTGTGAACTGGCAAAATCCAGTTGGGAAGTGCATTGAAAGTTGATTGTTTAGTGTGTGTGACTGCAGCCTATTTTTGTTTCCTTGAGGTTTTACTGTTAGATTTTTTTTTTATTATATTTTTCTATGCTGGTTGTTAGCTGATTCAGTTTTTAAAAGCAGGCAAGAAATCTATAACTACTTATTAAATCCGTCACTGATATTAAACAACAGAGGGGGATTACTATTGTTATTCTTAGTATGTTGTATTGCAAAAATAATTAGCATCGAGGTAAAATAAGATGGCTTCGTTGTACTCCATTACAATGTAGTGGGTGTACTCAACAACATCAAAGGCATTTAGTAAATATTGTTCTTCTACAAATTTAATGTTTTTCTTTTTTAGCGGACTTACAGTGGATGACTCTAAATATGATGGGCCTTTGTTACAGATTTTATTTATGAACAATACTATTTCAAAGTAAGTGTAATTCAGTTTGGCTTTTTCAGAGTTTCTAGTTTGGTGTGCCCTATTAGAACAATGGATTTCAACTAGTATGTCAAGACCCACATCTATTGTACCTACCCCAAGGCAGCTCTCACCAATTGTAGCACTTCCCTTGATTCTGTGTGAGTGTGTAGGCTTTTTTGAGAGGGAGGGAGACTGTGTTTGGAAGAGGAAGGAAAAGAAGAAAGTAAAGAAAGAAATATAGCTAATAAATATATAAAAAGCCTCATGTTGCAGGTTAGTATTCTGGGTCTAAAAAGGAAGAAGCCTTCTGCTGTAGGAATTATTTAAATGAGATGAATTATTTACCGTGGGCCTGATCTCTTGCAGGGTGGGGTGGTTTAAATCAGGTTTCCTGTTGGAATTTTGCTTAATTCCTAAACATAACCATTAAAATGTTAAAATATTACGATTAGATTAAAGTGTTTGCACTGTCTGTGACGTATTTCTTTCCAGGGTTACAACTTTCCTTTCACTTCTGCTCCATCCTTCACCTCTCCTACTTGACCCTAATTTCATGCACACCCAGAAACACACAATCCGACACTTTTGCTCATGGCATTTAATATGTTATTGAGTGTATTAGCTAAGAAGCCTGGAATTTTTCAAAAGCAAAAGCTGGTTGTTGCTAAACAAATATTCTTAATTTGAGAACTGAGGGAATTTTAAAACATTTAAGTAATTAAAGACCATAAAATGGTATACTAAATTATTCTAGATGTGGACTGGGTCCTGCTATCAGTGTAGATTTTGGCACAGACTCCCAGTGACTGTAATGATCTGGTAATCTCTGCCCCCCACCCCTGTTATCAAGCCTGTAATGACAACAGTACTGTGTGTAAGGTGTTGTGCATTATTGATAGTGCTTGCCCTCAAAAGTGATATTTTCTCCATGGTTCTTTATTTAAACAGCAGAGCTGTGTGTTTGATAGAGATCCACTGATTCAGTTACAAAAGAGAATTAAATAGAAGTCTTAAGGTGTTTGCATTCAGACTTAGACATTTTTTCTTTTCAGAAATCAGATTCAAATGCAAAATCTTGCTTTTCATTGGGTTGTATCCACTGTGGTTTCTCAAGTGTGTGGGCATCATTTTAGAGTTTAGTGAGATTCCCCCCCCCCCGAATACAGAATACAGA